ATCTCACTATCTTTCCTTGGCTGTCATTACACATACAAATAAGCCTATGTTCACACAGAATAATTTATTTGAGTCTTCCTCAATTTGTATCATTTTATGGCAAGAAATTGGAAGAAGTAACATAATAACATAAATATAATTGTTTTTAAAAGCTTAAGTTAATTTTGAAAAATAAATAATAATAATAATAATAATAATAATAATAATAATAATAATAATAATATCAATTAATAAATAAATAAATACTGACAATTCATTAAAAATGATTGTTATGACAGCTTTGGTGCTAATCAGCTGTTCTCGCTGGGAGCCATACGTATTGGTGTTGTCCTTGAATGGCCGTTATTACACATACAAGTAACCATGTTCATACGGGATAATTCATTTGCTTCATATCAAGTAATATAAATAAAATTCTTGTCTCTAAAATTAAATAATAATAATTTATAAATTTAAAGCTAAATATTAAGAATTAATTAAAATTCTATTTTTTTCATTCAAAACCACACCCCTACGACGCCAAACCAAAGGTCATGCTGGTTAACATAAATATTCGAAAAAAATCGATAAATAAAAAAAACATATTAGATTAGCTAAATGATTAAACTTTTAACAAATCCCCCCCCCCCCCCTCGAAAAAACGTGGCTTTTTGATTAAACTCTTCTTCGGCGTGATTTATGGCAAGTAATTTCTTTGGCGCCAAATAACATTTCGCCTTAAGACGACGCCGACAACGTCGCCACTTAATCGCTATTTCTTTTTCACATTCTTTTTTCAACTCTAATACCATAAATGATGATATTGTTATTGTATTAAATGTTAATGTTTTTATTAAGTTATTTTAGCTTGATTTTTGTTGTTCTTTGCTTTTCAAAACAAAACGAAAAATCTGCAAATTTTATGCAAATATGTTAAATGACATTTGTTGTTTGTATTTTGTTTTTTTCTTTTTTTGGTTTCAAATGTCTTGCAGACAGTTTTGAGAAATACCCAGAGGACGTCAAATGCAACAAAAAAAAACCTGTAGGTGTAAATATCACAACGCAAAACATTGGATTTTCCAAGAAATCAAAGTGAGAGACAGTGAAATTAAAATACAACAAAAAGCAAACAAATACTGACAACTGCACAAGGCTTTGAGTAGGTAATTAACGAATTAATTTGTTTGGTGTTTTTGGAGAATTAAACGGGGTTGAGGTATGTGGGAGTGTACAAAAACACATATTAATTATTATTTGGGTTTTGATGTAAATAAAACTATTGAAATAAAAATTAAGGCTCCATTTGTCAAAAATTACAGGACATTTTTTTTTATCCACTATTCATGAAATCTGTAGAAAACTTAAGGGTGGGAACATATAAAGCGCTTATTTGGCTGACTTTAGTCATCGGCTGGCCTTATTGTAAATGACCAAAGGAGCCCAGGACCAAATTCGAACTAAGTCAACCTAAAACTCCTTTGTTCATCGACGAAGAAGCCAGCCGATGACTTAGGTTGGAAATACATAAAGAGCATATTTCGTTGGCTTAAGTCACCGGCTGGGTTCTTCGTAGATGAACAAAGGAGTTTTAGGTTGATTTAGTTCGATTTTGGGCCTAGGCTCCTTTGTTCATTTCCGAAGACTTAAGCCAGCCAAATATGCTCTTTATGTATTTCCAGCCTTAAGCCAGCTAAATATGCGCTTTATGTATTTCGATCCATGGTAGAAGAATATAGGTAGATGCGTCGATACAGCTGCTGAGACAATGAACTGTCAAACCAATTTTGGAATTGAAAATGTTGAATGAAAATTTTCTTAAATTTGTAAAAATTGTCGAAAAACATGAATTATAAGAACCTCCTCGTATAAGAAAACATATAAAAATCTACTTATATTTAAAAAAACATTTAAAATTTTTTGACATATCAATGCTCCCACGGTCGATTAAAACGAGCAGAGAGCGACCATCGGCTGTTATGGCGGCCTACATCATCACCATGGCCGGCGCTTGAGTTCTGGTGGCCAACCGAAGGTGCACATTTTCAGCTGACCTCTTTGGCATGTAAACACGATCATTTTGTTTGTTTACAAACCGCTGGACGAATGTTTTCTCATCGAAGAAAACCAAATTCGGCAGTTCACCACTTTCGGCCAAGCGCAGCAACTCTTTAGAGTCTATTTTCTTTCTATTGCGGTGTAAGTTCTTGCACTTTTTGGAATTTAAATGGCTTTACCCCGAGCTCATTTTTCAATATTTGCCGAATGGAATATTGCGATATGTTCAGCTCACGAGCCAATTTTCGGCCACTGCGACGCGTGTTTCGATCAAGTCGCTTCTTTACTTTTCGAACCATTTCTGCTGATATTGCTGTTTTCTTCCGCCACTTCCTTGACTTCGGGCTACGGGCTATCAGTATCACGGTAACGAGCGATGGTACGAGACACAAAAGATTTATTCACAGTTAAATTCTGGAGTGCTCTAACGATGGCCTCTTGTGGTTTTCCAGCCAAATATAAAGAAATCCCACTATCGCGCTTGAATTTCATCATCGAATAACTTATTTTCTGGAAAATTCTCACCAAAATAGTTTTACACGCTTGTAAACAATATAATGAGCTGTCACTGGAATAATTTTAACTGCTGTCGCATAAGTTGCTTAGAAATGACAGCAGTCTGAAGTTGGTTGCAGTTTTGTTCATCTCACACTGTATTACCATGGTAGATGAATACAGGTAGATGCATCAACGCATGGGAACATTGATATGTCAAAAATTTTTAAATTTCTTTTCAAATATAAGTAGATTTTTATATGTTTTCCTATACGACGTCATTCGGAGGTTATTATAATACGCGTTATTCACAATTTTTACAAATTTAAATAATTTTTCATTCAACATTTTCAATTCCAAAATTGGTTTGACAGTTCATTAACCCAGCAGCTGTGTCGATGCGTCTACCTATATTCTTCTACCATGATTTTGGAACAAACCAAATATTTATAACATTCGATAATTTTTTTTATAAAACCAAAATCAAAACTCTCTTACGACATTGAAATTCATACTTCAACACTTTTGTGCAGCACGAGAATGCAATAAAGTGTAAACTTTATTGAACTCAATATTAAAGTTACAATAAGAAAAAAAAACAAACAAACATAAATCTTTAACAACGACAACAACAAAAAAACAACTTACCCTGCAAGCAAGGCTACGTGCAAATCTGACAGAACAATACTTCAAAACTGACTCATCACAGCCGGAGAATATTAAACAGCCAGTCAATTGTCTTCAAGCTGATTGTGTTCGTTACGCATATGTATATTTATAGAATATACGAATTATATGGAGCATAAGTATGTTTTGTCAGAACAATTTTAAGCTACCATTTGAAATTTTTATCAGACAAAAAAATTTCGAAATTCAGTTTATGACGTTTGTGGTTTTATTCAAATTGCTGCAAACGGAACACAAATGGATTTGGCTATAAAACAGAAACCGCAAACGAAACAGGTAATTACTATTCATTAAGATGATGATGTTGGGTTATTTCTTGTGGGAATTTCATGTGGCCATGTTGATTGAAACATCAAATTTCTAAAAAGTTTTGTTTTTTGGCTGAATCATTGTGACCATGTTATGAATTTGTGAAATATTGGAGGAGTTGTTTTGGAAATTTTTCCATTTCAAAATTAAAACATTAGTTTGAAGTTTAATTTTAATAGGTCTTTTCAAGTAAATATTTTAAATTTTTGGTTTTATCAGGAAATTAACATGATAGAATTAAAAAGGTAAAGTCATGCAATCATATGTTTACAATTTTTTCAAAATTATTCATTTCACAACATCTGATTGTAAAAATTTATATTAGAGATCCACTGTTTACACAGAAATCAGAGATGGAAACCTCTTTTTTATTCGATGAAATTTGACAAGGTAAATTACAGAAAATGCAGCAATAGAGATGCCTATTTGAAATTACTTTACCTTCTTAATTTTACCATGGGAAGTTTATAAGCAGATTACGATTTTGGAAAATTTTATTTACTTACTATGTCAAAGATTTTATATGATTTCAATTTGCGAGATCCTGAAATAAATCAAAGTTTTTGGAACATGACAATCAGCTGATGTTGTTTTTTCTCTTTTGTTAAGTTTTATATGTTTTTTTTATACGAAGTCATTCGGAGGTTATTATAATATGCGTTTTTCAACAATTTTTACAAATTTAAATAATTTTTCATTCAACATTTTCAATTCCAAAATTGGTTTGACAGTTCATTGTCCCAGCAGCTGTGTCTATGCGTCTACCTGTATTCTTCTACCATGGTTAGAATGTAAAGGGAAAATCGGTTATCGCTTTTACATACCTGCAGTTCTAGAATAGATCAATGAAAAGAACAGTTCCAAAACCATAGTCTTCCTTGTCTCTTATTTTTATAAATGTTCTGTTTCATAACCTGCAAGAACCTAGTTTCTAAGTCGATTTTTCGATAACATGAAGAAAAATCTGTTATCGTAGTTATATTTTTACATTCTTGGCATTAAGCCTGAAAATTGTGAAATAATAGCCAATGATTTATGACAATCTACTGGTATGTTACAGAACCTGCAAGATTCTATTACTTTTGCAAATTATCTTCGATATCATAGAGGGAAAATCGGTTATCTTAGTAGTAACGTTTAGATTCCTGCAGTTCTGGAACAGACCATACGTAAGTAGATAAGAAAATCTACGTTTCCATTCTTTTTTTCTTAAACTACTTTTCCATTCTATTATCTTAATCTCCTTTTTATTAATTTAAGTGTACGTAAGTGGATAAGAAAATCAAAATATCCATCCTTTCTTCCTCAAACTACTTTTTCATTCTATTATTCATAATCTCGTATATACACATTCTAAGATGGATATGCCTTGTTCACATGCTAATAAGAACATGACAATATCCCAACTTTTCGATAGTCAAACAATCGATTAATCAAAAGTCGATCTAGACATCCCTAATCTGGGGCGTAGTAAAGTAGTTTTACATTGGATTTTGTCAGTTGATTTGTTTTTCTATTGTTTTTGTGTTTTGTGCATTGCTTTATTAATAATAAATAATATATTTATACTTTTTTAATAATATTAAATATCACCGATATGAAGAACCTTTTGTGCATTGTTTTTATCATACTCAGTCTCTGGATGAAAGAAGGTTTTGTCAAGCATGAATAACCAATTTAGAGTTAATGTTTACATATTTGTCATTGTTGTTTTTGTTGTGTTGTAGGCTTGGCTATTTGGTGCTATCGTTGTACTTCAGCCACTCCCGGTTGTGGAGAGACTTTCAATTGGCGTGGCATTGGTTTTCTGGGTGAACAGTGTCCCGAAACCAATGATATATGTGTAAAGGTTACAGAACGGCGAGGAGGTAAGTGGAGTGGAATTATATACCACAAAATATTTAATTTATCATATATATGGTTCCAGCCCAAGAAACCATTATACGTGACTGTCTGAGTGCCCTGAGCTTTAGAACTGATATACCAGCTGATAAATATGAAGGTTGTTATCCGGCTGCCAAAGATGTACGCCTGGCCCACTATGTCAATCACACGATAAAGGAACACGATGTTAAGCGTGACTATTTCACCAATGTTAAGTATTGTTTCTGTTTTTTGGATCATCGCTGCAATGGCGGTGAGAAAAACCAAGCAGTGCTTGGACTTGGTTTATTGAGTGCAATATTAGTCATAGTTATTCCAATAATTTGGTATTAGGGACTTTTTATAGTTAACTAATCGAGTAAGCATTACCAACCAAAATGTGCCTTTAGTTCAACTCGAATACTGACTTTAAAGTACATATAGAAAAATGTATTTCTGTGGATGTTAATTTAAATTATAATTTCAAGGTACATAGCCTCCAAATCGAAAATATCCATATCTTAGTTTTAGCACGACCTTTTTGTCCACATACAAATCGAATATATCCACATGTTTAGCTTTAATAATATATCAAAATACAAATTTAATATGTTCATATCTTAGCTTTAGGGAAACTTGATCCGTCCAGATACAAATTGCATCAAGAGCTACAATTTTTTTTTTAAATCTCAATATTAACATTCCATATTTTACAAAAAAAAGTAAACGATTTTTTATAAGTTTATTGTATCTTTACATAAATATTTTATTAAAAAGGAAAACAGTTTTTTACATGATAAAATAATTGAAAACAAAATTGTTGTGTTTTTCTTAAACATATTCGTCGCTTAACATCTCTGTTGGAACATTTTTCTGGGCCCTAAAATCATAGCGGGCAATGTCAGGATTCGCATCGATAAACTCTTTATAAACTGTGGCCAAGCGTATGCACTCATCAACGGATAACTGAAAGGGTCTTAAGGTATCTTCAACATCAGCTCGCTGGAAAAGTTCATAGCATATGTCATCTCGATCTTGGGGAGGAAAGAGGGTACCATAGCCCCGACGACAATATTTTTGGCGCATATTAAATATGTGTCGAACCACCTTTTCTACCAAACCAAATGGCAAATCTGTCTTGGGTTGCTTTAGGGGTATCAATTTCACCACACCAACGTCTACCTCAGGCTTTGGGACAAACGCTTTGCCGGGTATGGTAAATTTCATAACAGGTTGGGTCCAAATTTGAGACATAACAGACAAGCGACATCTTTGTTTATCTCCCAAATTGGCACAAATACGTTCGGCAACTTCCTTCTGAAATGTTAATGTCATGCAAGTGTCGTTACGTCGGAAAGCTCCACGGCGCAGGGATAAATCTTCAAACCAATTTATAATTAATCGAGTAGATATGGCGAACGGTAGATTGCCAATTAAATGTAAACGTTGTGTTGTGTCGGGTATGTGGTGTTCCATATTGAAACGTAAAATGTCATCGATGTGTATGTCCACTTGTAAATCCAGGGGTTTGGCACATTCTTTTAACAGCTCCAATGAGGGTAAGAAACGGTGATCTTTTTCCACCAAAATTAAACGCTGCGGCGAACGTCTCAATATAGAGCGAGTTATGGCGCCCGGACCAGGTCCAACCTCCAAGACGATGTCATGAGTATCTATGCGGCCAGCAGATTTAACGATTTTATCGGTGATACGTTCATCCATTAAAAAGTTTTGCGACAATTGTTTTAGGGCCTGTAGTTGATACAACTTAACCAATTCACGCACGGTAGGCAATGGTGGTAAGCGCATACCGGATTTCAGAATTCGTACAGCTGCCTCTGACATTTTGTTCTATAAAAAAATTGAAATTAGTTATGGAATTTGCAAATAAATCCAAATAAAATAACCTCACTTTTTCGTTTACTTCCAAAAAACGACGCAAAATAGTCCTTCTCCTCCAAAAACAAAAACGTTAAGGTTATACAACAATTTCCAATCAAAAATAACAAGGATGTAAGAACTAAGCGTAGAAATCTTATAAAACTAAACAAGCGTTTGGGGAATACGGCTTAATTGGTGTTGACTTTTTTGGGTTCTTCAAAATCGTCCAAAAATTTCTCTTGTTTCACGGAGTAAATTGAATAGGCATAGATGCCCACCACCGAGAATATCAATGAGCCGGCTGTTAGCAAGTTATTACGTCTAACACGTTTCAGTTTCTGAACTCTTTCCAAGTTTTGTTGTTCAATCAATTTCATGAACTCCAATTGCGCCTTATCGATTTTTCCTTCAGCGAATTTGATATTGGGTGCCTTTTCACTGGGATTAGACATTATTTTGAAATAATTTATCAATTTTTTTAACGAAATTACTTAATTTCCAGAAGGTGTATGTAATTATGAAAGAAATAATTACAAAAGAAAAAGTTGACAATCGATAACCTATTTTAAAGTATCTTATCGTTACTATCGACATTGACATCGATTGTTTGCCACCTCCCCAACGGAACAAATAAGAAATCAAAAAGAAATGCCCGATAAAATAGAACGAGAAAGCAAAATCCCCGAGGGAGCTCTGTTGTTTACGAATGAGTGGAATGCATAAGCCGAGGGACCTCTGAGACATGGGAAATCGAACCGCTGGCCACATTCATTAAATGAACCGGGGGAGTAGGTAGAGAGTAGGTAGTCATTTTGACGCCGTTAACTTTTTTTTAACAAATATAAGGGTGATAAAGATCGAAAGAAACCATGCTGTAGGATTTGAGAAAACAGCTGTCTGGAATTTAGGGACATCTTCGACGAAGTTAATCGAGTATTTGATTCTTAAACATTTTAAATAGTCTATTTTTTTTTAAATATGAATTCTTATATTGATATGTAATTTGTTTATTTAACTAAATATATAAACATATACATATAGAGAAAAAATGAAATCTTATGGTTCATCATAAGTACCATATTTACAAGGAGATTTGGAACGTCTTGATTTTAAGTTTGATGAATTTATAATGTTTGTTTCCTCTTCCAAATCCCAATATACTTCTTCCAGCTTAACTTCTTTATTTTGACATATTGATAACAGAAATTCAAAGTAGTCCAGATAACGTACATGCCCTTCATAGACCGACATAAAATCAAAATATTTTGGATATTTACGATGTTTAATCAGACGACGAAATCCAAATTATCTGTTTCAGAACTACAAGATTTTCCATTTTCCCTATATGATATCGGAAAAATTTCAAAACTAGTACATTTTTGTAGGTTCTGATACAGACCAAACTAATTAACAATTAATTTTCTGAAACAAAGTAGAGGTTAGAAAGTTCCACGGCATAGATGGAATTAATGCAATAAAAATAGTGTTACATTTAGTTTTAGTCATGTAGTAAATTTCTCAGTAAACGTTGTAATTTATCAGCCATACAACAAAAAGATCTTAAATCCTTAAAAGAATGAACCCGTTGATATCATCGATAATAACGATCCCAACCATGTAATATCTGCCTATAAATTGCTCAGCGAGGCTATTCTGTTTAAATTTTGCCCCTTGTATGTTATTTTCCTCCGATATAAACAGAAAGTCAGCTAAAATCCAAGGCATACCTAAGGTCGGTCAGAAACCCATCTGAAAACCATGTTTGCTGTCAAAAACATAATAGTGATTTAAAATTCAAAGAGAGTCAATTCACAATAGTGCAAAACAACTAAGTTTTTTTTTGTCAAATTGTTGTAAAAAGTAGTCTTCCTGGCCGACCTTATGTAGGCCTCGCTATGATTTATCATCTTCAAATTGAAAAACGATGACAAAAAGTCGACATTGACTTTTAACATCATAAAATCGATTAATCTATAAATCCATAGTCGACTTACATCTCCCTACTTCAGTTTAGTTTTATTTTTCAAAGTGACAAGACGGTGCGAGGCACGCCGCGAATTTACAGCGGCTTTACAAAGAAAACAAATTAGAAAAATACACATAAAACCAACAAGAAAAAAAAAAAAACAAACAACAGCGAAACTCAGATAAAGACTTAGAAATGAGACAATTTGTTTTATTTTTAACAAATTACCAAACGGTTTGTGTGTGAATGGACAAGCGTAAACGTGTTTCTTAATTAAAATTGAAGGTGTTCTGCTTACCGCAAGCAAGCTGCTATTCTACTTTGACGTGTAGTAAATATATATTGTTAATTGACAAAAAAAAAAAAAAAAAACAAAGCCGCGCAACGTTGACAGCAACAACAATAATTAATTCAACGGTTCTTTTTTGGTTGTGTGTTGTTGTTGGTGTTTTTACAAAGAAGGGAAGGAGGAGACATCAATGAATTTTTTGCTGCTGCTGCAATAATTCCTTGTGTGCTCTGCTAGCAGAAAAAAGCCGTAATTGCAAAAATAAACAGAGGACCAGATGCGGTGAAGGGGTACTGTTTTGCCGGTCATTGATTGAAAGAATGAAACAAATTAACAATACTTTTTACATATAACACAAAGACCCCTAGGCTTTGCGTCCATTGCGCTGCTTGTTTGTAAATGATTTCGGCAAAAATTTCCATAACACACATTTATATTTCTTTTTCGACGCTAAGGCGTTTAGTTCAAAAACAGATCTCGTTGAAATAACAACAAGAAACATTTAAACAAAATTTGAAAAAAAAAAACGTAACTTGTGAATTCAAAAAAGTACAGTACAAAACAAACACACGACAAAGCAAACAAGTCGCGGCACGACAATAAGAGAGTGACAATAGTTGACAGTTGAAAGGCAGTAACAGCAGAGCAACACCACAAAAAGTTGTTTACATTTGTTTGGTGTTAATAAGAAGAAAAAACTGAAGGATAACTTAAATAAACAGCAAAACTTAACACAAAACAACAACAAACATGGTTTTAACAAATCTCGAATTTTGGGCTGCAGATGGTTCCTCATCATTACCCGCCACAGCCTTGGAGTTTGATACCAGTGCCCATATGCACCAACGTCACAATAATCCTTTTGATCCACGTGTTGTTCCTCATGTGCCCACCAGAAATATGACACATCTTTCCTCGAATGGTTACTATGGCTTTTCCTATATTAATGCCGCACATGATGTGGAATTGAACAACAACAATAATAATAACATAGATATAACCAACAACAACAATACATCAGCACACGATTTTATGGTAAATGATGTCAATAACATTGGAACGACGTTGGCAGCGACGATGACGCCACATCAGCAACAGCAGCAACAACAGAATTTGTTTGCCAATTTTATTGGCAACAACAATAATACTGTAAATAAATTGCCTGTCAATCACCACCACAACACCACCTCACGTTGTAAAAAACGTTTCTTTGTATTCAATGGAAATGATGCTGACGATGATGACATCGGAGGTTTTGGTGGTGGCGGCGGCGGTGTCGCTGGCAGCGGTTCTTACTGTACAAATGCCCCCGCCAAACGTTGCCGCTTTGATGATGACTACGCTGCTCAATATTGTAATGGTAAGTCAACGACAAAGAACTCGATTAAAACAAAAACACACACAGGCAAACACTCAGAACAAAGACAAAACACGTTACAGAGATGTGGTGTTTTGAATTTTGTTTTTACGTTACGATAACGTGTATTGTTTTTGCCTTTGTGTGTTTGTTCTTGTTAGCTTCCCCCTTCCCTTAGAATGTGAAGCATAGCCGTTGATGCTTTTAATTTGTTGTTGGTTTCTTTTAGTAAAGGTACAGTATTGTACAACCTGTGGGTCACGCGTGGAAAAGTTTTTAGAGGAAAGAATCGTAATGTTTATTTATTATTAATTATTCGACTACACATCAGGGGAATCAAGGAGCCTAGGGTCCTTGAACGTTATATAAATCAAAAACTACTAAAGAAAAAAGAAAACTACAGACTTGATCAATGTTTAGGAATAGAAGATCATTTTACATTGGGCATTTCAAAAAGACCTTTGGGCCAGATCGGAACAATTATTGGTATATTCTTAATTTCATAAAAAATTAAATAATTATAAAGAAGCACCTATCTTTTTTTAGAAACTAGGCTAGATGTTTACATTTTAGAAGAGCAAAATGATCATTAACCCAGTTTGACTTTACATCAGGAGTAGCCAAAATACTACTGATCAGTCCTGTCTGTCGCATTGCAAAAATTTAAAAGTAGAAGAGTTTTGGATCAGGTTGGAACAAATATTGGTATATTCATCATTTCATATAAATGTAAATGTTTATAAAGAAGCACCTCCCTTTTTAAAAAAAAAAAAAAAAACTAGGCTAGATGTTTACATTTTAGAAAAGCAAAATGTTAATTAACCAAGTTTGACTACACATCAGGATAATCAAGGAACTAGGATCCCTATACGTTAATATAAACTAAAAACAGCTAAAGAATCCAAAAACTACTCAGTCCTGGCTGACACATTGCAAATATTTTAAAATAGAAGAGTTTTGGACCAGTTTGGAACAAATATTGGTATATTCTTAATTTCATATAAATGTAAATGTTTATAAAGAACTGTTTTTCTTTTTAGAAACAAGGGTAGGGTACCTAGTTTCAAGTGCAATAAAAGTTAAACAAATTCCAGCCATATATTCCTTCGGATGCAGTATTGTACAACCTATGAGTCACATATGGAAAGTAGATGAAATGCATCATCGGTCTCAATTCAGGACCTCAAATCTTGTTCAATGAAAAATTTGATAAAGGAAATATTTTTTATTTCACATTTCCATAGAACAAGAATCCAGTCCCAGGTTTTTTCGTTCATTTAAACTAACATGTTCTAAATGATTATCATTCCAGAAATATATTTTATACATCAAACTTGACTGTACATAGGAAACATTCTTCGTTTCAAATGCTCTTAAACTGTCTTCTACTCAGATTTGGGGAAAATCAAAACCGCCCTCAGAAGAATTATCACCGTTTCATTATCAGAATTTAAACACACGTCTTGGGTATTTTTTTTTTTTTTTTTAATTTTTGATTAGTTTTTGTTATCAAGGTACCTGCCGTTTTGGTGACAGCAAAAGGTTATCACGTTAGGAAACAATGTCTGAATGTAAATTGATATGATCTGCATGTACAGTATCTAGCCTAAACCTCATTGTTTGGGACATTTTTTTTAACAAAAATTATCGTTGGTATATATTTAAAGAAGACCACAACACTTCTATGAAAAGTTACTGTTAGTCCTAATAATTTAAATGAATGGACACATATTTTAATAAATTTTATTTGGGAAAATTGCCTTCGATTTTTATGGAAAATTACCAAATAGCTATTTTCAAAAAATGAAATATGACTTAAATTTATTTCACAAAATGTTCATATATTTTCAGTTCTTTGAAAATAGTCACCACAGTGAAATATGATTTAAATATATTTCAAAAATATTCATATACTTTTCAGGTCTTAAAAAATAAAAACGTAATATATTTTATGAATATTTTTATTTAAAATTTTAATTAGTGTGACATCGCATATTACAGTTGTGAGAACAGGTTCGTACAGGTGTTTGTCATTTATTAACAAATGAAAAGTGCCAAATCTACTTTAAATAAATGAGAGTACACTAGGAATATAGTATTCATTATGACATCAGCTTCTGAAAGAAATAGAATTACTAATGGTGATTTCTCTGCGAAATTTATTCAGCATTTGGAGGAATATATTATATGAATCACTTTGTCTAAAGGGGATCCCAAAAATTTGTGGATTTTTTTAATAAACAAGAATAAATCAGAAACTGAAAGGCTAATAAAAAATAAATTAAAAGAATTGACTACAGCGAATAAAAAAAAAAGAATAAATAAATAAAAATAAGAAAAAAATATAATTTCAGCAAGTAAAAATGCTGTAAGTTCGGCCGGACCGAACTTTGATACCCTCCAACATTTGGAACAAATTGGGCAAATTAAAAAAAAAATAAAATCTGTTGAAAATCTTAAAAATTAAAAATATCCTTATTTTAGGGTTTATTCCAGGACGTGGACCTGCATAGGCAACTTTTGTCATATGCTATTACAATATTCAAATGCGAAACTTGAAAAAACTTCTGTTTATAATGTAGCTAAAATCATCAAAATTCCGAATATAGGGAGGTATCATGAGGGTTACAAAACGTGGACCTGCACAGACAATTTTCCGGCATAGGCTGTAGCATCCATTACGAACTTCAAATGCCAAATTAAAAAAAAAAAATCTGGTGAATAATGTCGCTGAAATCATTAAAATACCGAAAATCGGGAGGTACCGTTATATAGGGGCTATACGAGGACGTGGACCTGCACAGACAATTTTATGTCTTAGGCTGTAGCATCCATTACAAACTTCAAATACCAAATTTTAAACAATTCCGGTGAATAAATGTCGCTAAAGTCATCAAAATACCGAATAACGGGAGGTACCGTTATATGGGAGCTATACGAAGACGTGGACCTACATGGTCCATTTTCTGTCCTAGGCTGTAGAATCATTTTGGAACTTCAAATACCAAATTTGATACCATTCCGTTAAATAATATCGGCTAAAATCATCAAAATACCGCATATCGGAAGCTAGAGTGATTTCCACGGAGAAAAGACGGACGGACATCGCTAAATCGACATACAATTTTATGCTGATCAAGACTATATATATACTTTGTGGAGTCTTAAATGTATATTTCGAGGTGTTACAAACGGAATGACATGCTTAATATACCCTCCATACTGTGGTGGAGGGTATAAAAACAATAAACTGACTGAGGAAAAATATATTTTATTTTCCTACGCTTTTTGCCAGTTTCTGCAACTCAAACGTTTGGCTATTAACCCTGAACTAGATAGCCATCTTTCAGACATTACATTGTTTTTTATTTTTTCTCATGAAACTGAAAATATTTAACCTTTTTTATTTTGTTTATTTTGCTGGTCGTAATGCACTTCCAGGCCAACAAAAAAAAGTAAAACTCACGTGGTTTTTCATTTGCTACCCCGGCCAAACCACGAAAACGTTGTAGTATTTTAATTTTGTATAGGAAATTCCAAATTCCGCTCGTTGTTTTCAAACACAAATCAAACAGAAATTGGGGATACTATGTAAAAGATCAGCGACAGCAGCAAAGCACAGCACGGCACAGCAGACAATGTCAAGTTTGTGTAATCACAAACATGCCAACATGTGAATGAATTATGTATACGTTTTTATGGTTATTTATAACAAACAAGAGGGCGAGAAGAGAGCATGAAATGGATGGTGGAGGGGGGAAAGACAAACCACATTTAAAGTTTCTTTTAATTCGTTTTTTTTTTTGAAGGTCAGCTTTATTTTCTTTTTATTTATGTCTTTGTCATTATTTCGTCTTTCGTCTGGGGAGTCAAAGCTCTGCTGGGATGACATTCAATTCCCAAGACGGAAGAGAAAACAGGTCGCCGCCGGCCGCTAAAACAATGTAGTTAGTTATGCATCACAATAGTAGTTGTTGGGATAGGCCGCAGCCCGGCCACACCATTCATAATTCACACCACGGACGGCGGCGAGTACATGCATTAACATTTTAACCTGTTGGGAAATTTTTTAATGGGTTCACATCGCTTGGGAGGGAGATCATACCCCAATTCAATGGCGCTAAAAATAATTAACATTGCCAACATGATGCAATTAGACGAAATACCTACAAAAAAAAAAAAAAAAAACAATTGAATTTACAAAAAATATATTTTCCAACTACCTTTGTTGGTGTTTCAAAAAAATGTAGGTCATAGCCTAAAAAAAGACAAAGTCGAAACATTTCATTGATATGTTTTTAATCGTTACATTTCTATCACTCCTTATCTTGGCTTTGTTGATTATAAACAAAAAATTGGGTGATTTGTGTTTTCAAATCACATGTACGATACGATAATGTTTGAAGACATTTTCTTTTATTTTTTTTTTATCAAATTCCTTTAATATATCACCCATTGCTATCGATTTGAAATACGTGTGTACATTTGCAGGGTGAGATGAAAAAACTGCAAGCAACTTCAGACTGCTGTCATTTCCAAGCCACTCGTCTGAAAGCTGTTAAAATTATTCCAGTGACAGCTCATTATATTGTTTACAAGGGTACCAAAGTATTTTGATGAGAATTTTCCAGGAAAAAAATAATTCGTGATGGAATTTAAGCATGATAGTGTGATTTCTTTATATTTGGCTGGAAAACCACAAGTGGCTATCGCTAGAGCACTCCAGCATTTAAATGTGAATAAATCTTTTGTGTCTCGTACCATCCATCGCTCGTTACCCTAATACTGGTAGCGTAGTCCGACGTCAAGGAAGTGGACGGAAGAAAACAGCAACATCAGCAGAAATGGTTCGAAAAATAAAGAAGCGACTTGATCGAAACCCGCGTCGCAGTGGCAGAAAAATGGCTTGTAAGCTGAACATATTGCAATATTCCATTCGGCAAATATTGAAAAATGCCATTGGCGGAGTAAAGCCATTGAAATTCCAAAAAGTGCCAGAACTTACACCTCTACAGAAAGAAAATAGACTCAAAAGAGCTAAAGAGTTGCTTCGCTTAGCGGAAGTGGTGAATTGCTGTCCAGCAGTTTGTGTACAAAAAAAAAAAAAAGATCGTGTGTACTTGCCAAAGAGGTCGGCAGAAAATGTGCACCTTCGGTTGGCCACCCGAACTCAAGCGCCGGCCAGGGTGATAATGTGGGCCGCCATAACAGCAGATGGTCGCTCTCCGCTCATATTAATCGACCGTGGCATCAGAATAAATGCAGAACATTATTGCGAAAATATTCTGGAGGGTGTATTAAAGCCTTGGATATTCAAACATTTTGGCCACAGACCTTAAACATTCGAACAGGACTCAGCACCATCCCACTCAACACGCGCCACCCACGAATGGTTACAAAATGAGGTTCCTCGCTACATTTCCAGCTACACTTCCAGATCCGTTGGACTATTGTGTCTGGAGTATTTTGGAAAGCAAGGTTGGCACTAAAAAATACCAAAGTGTCGATCACCTCAAGCAAGCACTTCGCCGGGAATGGGCCAAGATACCGTAGAGCAACATTCGGGCGGCGTGTGACGGTTTCATTTTCCATTTGAAGGCCATAATTCGTGCCAAAGGTTACCAATTCGAATAAATCAAAACTTATTTTAAAATTTGATGATATTTCCGACATTTTTTGCTTTCATTCAATAACTTTTTAAAAAATGTAAAAATTATGGCTTTTGACTTTGTTGCAGTTTTTTCATCTCACCCTGTATATACCCACCAATTCGTGTGCCTTTACCCTACCTATTTATAGCAAAAGTGGGTAGGCATAAAATATTGTTGACACAATATTGACGGAACACTAAACAAAGGGAGGGGTTTTATGGTTTAAAATACGTTTGTTTGTTTGATTTTTCGTTCTACGATTTCGGGTACACTTTTTCATTGCTGGACAAGAACCTGGACAAAATTTGTGCATAAAGAAAAGCGATTTAAGAGAGACCCTATAATTACTAATCATTTTCTTCTGAAGTTGTCAATTCAATACCCATTGACAAATTGATTTAAAATATGGTTGTTTCTAAGAGAAAATGTCCGAAATGTTTGTCAAAAGGAGATATTTTTGGTCGAAAATTTTGAAATAAATTTTTGTTAAAAAACATATCAAAATTTATTCTATGACTGTAGATCTTTATATTCCTTATTTAAATAGAAAATGGTAAAAATTGGATCCAATTTCAAAATTTTCTATATAGATTTGAATTCAATGAATGATTTGGACAAAAAGGAGCCCAACTGTATCAAAAAAATTTATAAACCCAAATTTCAAAAATTTCTATAGAGATTTGATTTCAATGAATTCTATAGAGATTTGGACAAAAAGGAGCCCAACTTTATCAAAAAAAAAAAAAAAAAAAAAAGTAAAAAAGCAGTAAGTTCGACCGGGCTGAAGTTTGAATATCCTCCACCATTTGGGACGGATTTGGAAATTTTGAAAAAAATAACATTCGCCAAACTTCCAGGGGATGAAGTACTCAGAAGGAAATCCTTATGTGGATTTTCAGACAATTTTATTGAAAAGTTCGGCTACAACCATCAAAATACCAAATATCGGGGGTACCGTTGTAAGGGGGCTATACGATATCGTAAACTTATATAGGCAATTCTCTTCCAGGGGCTAAAGTACTCAAAAGGAACTCCTTGTGTTCAGACAACTCCATTGAAAGATGTGTCTATAATCATCAAAATACCGAATATCGGGGGGTACCGTTGTATGGGGGCTATACGATATCGTGGACATATATAAACAATTCTCATCCAGGGGGTAAAGTGCTCACAAACAACTCTTTGTGTGGATTTTCAGACAATTCTATTGGAAAAGGCGCCTAAAATTACAAAATACCGAATATCGGGGGGTACCGTTGTAAGGGGGCTATATGAAATCGTAAACTTATATAGACAATTCTCTTCCAGGGGCTAAAGTACTCAAAAGGGATTCCTTGTGTGGATTTTCAGATAATTCTATTGGAAAATGTGCCTAAAATCATCAAAATACCGAATATCGGGGGGTACCGTTGTATGGGGGATATACGATATCGTAGTCCTGTATAAACAATTCTCTTCCAGAGGGTAAAGTGCTCAAAAAGACCTCTTTGTGTGGATTTTCAGACAATTCTATTGAAAAAGGTTCCTAAATTCATCAAAATTCCGAATATCGGGGGCTATACGATATCGTGGACCGATATAGCCCATCTTCGAACTTGACCTGTCTGCAGACAAAAGACTGGTCTGTGCAAAATTGTAGCTTTATATCTTTACTCGTTTTGACTCTAACGTGATTATAACAGACGGACGGACGGACAGGGTTAAATCGTCTTAGAATTTTACGCTGATTAAGAATATGTATACGTTATTATCTCTAAAATGATTATTTCAATGAGTTACAAACGGAATGAAGAACTTAATGTACCCTCCATACTATGCATGGTAGAGGGTATAAAAATTATAAACCCATTTATTTATAGAAGTTAACTCAAAATATTCTATACTTATGTAGTGTTTGTGAAAATGTTGTTCAATACGTGATCGAAATCTTCTCTAGAATTATTAGGAATTTTCCTTTAGTTGTTTTTTTTTTATTACGATTGCATTGGCCCACTTTTAATTGAATTTGCTGTATTTTTGTTTTTTTCTCTCTTTTACTTTTAAGACCTTCTAACTCACTCACATGCCGCTACGTCTGTGTTGTGCTGTCATTTCCCTTAGTTGTTGTTGTTTTTCTTTTTATTGTTTTAAGCTGTAATAATTACTTGGATTTTTTTGCTGCTGCATCAGCAGCATTATCACATTTTCATTATCGTACAAACAAACCTACCTACCTACCGGCAACTAAAATGACAGCGATGACTCTGTCGACGCCAGCTTCGTCTTCTCCACATACTGTCGCCTGCTGTTGCTGTTGTCTTTCTGTCTTGACAGCCGGTTTGTTTGACATATTGGCGTTCTACTTGTTATATAGTTCATTCTTGTTGCTTTTTCTTCGCCGCTGCGCCAAAACGTGCGTGCGACAGACACATGTGTAAGCAAATGTTGCTATTTTTATTTTTTTTTTTTTTTTCGTTTTCGTACACATGTGTGTCGTTTCTTGGCGGCACATTCATAGTGACATACGTTTTCTTTTTCTCTCTTTTTATTTCTAATGAAGTGGGTCATGAGGCATGCAATGGCAGAGCAAAAAAAGAAAAAAATACGTTGTGTGTAATCATCAGCTCTGCTGAGAGGAAATGTCAACAGCAACTTTGCTGCGACTGATGACTACTGTTGCTGCAACTTTGTCAACAGAACCGCTAACATAATTTTAATTGATTGGCCATGAGTGGGGGGTGCTTTAGTTGACGTATTATTAAGTTAGTTGTTACAAGAGCAAAGCACTTAAACTAAAAATAGGAAATCAACATTTGTATTGTAACTTGTTTCTATTTAATGTTTATTAAGCAAACGATTTGGAAAGTAATTAATTTCCATATGCATAAAAATAGGATGTGACATTTAAGACTGTCATGTTTACATGGATTTCATAGATTTCTTAATAACTTGTTAGAAAACGGCTAGAACCAATTTTGGGGAAAAAATCGTAATTTGAGGTTAGTTTTGACATAAGGTGAAACGTGAAAGGTTGGTTTAAAAATCAGAATGGAAAAAAATTAAGAAATAAGAACTTTGAATACCCTCCACCATTTGGAACGAATTTGGCAATTCTTAAAAACAATAAAATCCGTCAAAAATTCTGTTAAAATCTTAAAAATACCGTATATAGCTGTTATATGTCTATATGACGACATGGACCTGTATGGGAAATTATTGTCATAAGCCAATACAATAAAAAAAAAAATCGGTGAATAATATGGCTAAAATCATCAAAATACCGAATATCGGGAGGTGTCGTTATATGGGTGCTATACGAAGACGTGGACCGGCACAGACAGTTTTCTGTCTTAGGCTTTAGTATCCATTGTGAACTTCAAATACCAAATTTGACACAATTCCGGTGAATAATGTCCCTAAAATCATCAAAATACCGAATATCGGGAGGTACCGTTATATGGGGGCTATACAAAGACGTGGACCTGCATAGACAATTGTCTTCCTTAGGCTGTAGTATCTATTACGAACTTCAAATACCAAATTTGAAACAATTCTGGTGAATAATGAAGGTAAAATCTTCGAAATGCCGAATATCGGGAGGTACCGTTATATGGGGACTATACGAAGACGTGGACCTGCATAAGTAACTTTTTGTCATAGGCTGTAGTATCCATTAAGATCTTCAAATACGAACTTTGAAACAAATGCGGCGAATAATGTCGCTAAAATCATCAAAATACCGAATATCGGGAGGTAATGTTATATGAGGGCTATATGAAGACGTGGACCTGAACAGACAATCTCCTGTCATAAGCTCTAGTATCGATTACGAACTTCAAATACAAAATTTTAGCCTTCTATCTCAATTCGTTGGAAATATAGCGTGATTACAACAGACAGACGGACATCGCTATATCGTCTTAGAATTTTACGCTGATCCAGAATATATACACCTTGTGGGTTTATCATGAATATTTGGAGGGTATAAAAATAGGTGGTATTTGAATGAAACACAGTTTATTTGTCTTCTTTGAAACAGCTTTCCAGAAATAAATATTTATTTATACATTTAATTATTTCATCGGTCTAAATATTTAATATTCCTTTTTGTTTTCCCTTTCCTCTTTTCAGATTTCTTTTCCTCATTGCCTGCCACAACGCCACAAATTGGCACACAATCATGTCTGATGGATACCGAAGAAGTTACAGTTCAGCAACAAACAGTGGCAGAGCAACAGCAGCAGCAACAATTACAAAATCAACAGCAGCAACAACAACACCAAGTGGATGAGGCAATGTATGAAAACAACAATAACAACATATACAACTTTAATAACAATAACAACAATGTTGAGAAATATGAACAAAGCATTTTACATCTGCAATTACAACATCAGCAACAACAACAACAACAACAATCTCAAATGCCAACACAGCAACCTCCCACACTACAACAACAACAAACACAACAGCAACAGCCACCAACACAAGAGCAGCAGCAGCAGCCGCAGCAACCTCATCAATATCACCACCATCATCATCAGCAACAACACTATCAAGGTCACTTGCATCGTGCTAATCGAGACGTTAGTCGTTGCATGCTATCTCACATGATTTAGTAGAGTTTCTCTGCCCATACATTTATTTGTTGTTTTTTTTTTTAGTTTTTGTTTTCCTTTCGTTTGTTTTTTTTATTTTTGAATTTACAAAATCAGTTTTGCGGAGGCATGCCAGAGATGCCCCCCATCCCTCAATTTGTACACAAAGCAGAAAATGCAATAATATATTTCACACCCCCTCATTTGTTTTTCAAAATTTTTGAAAATTACCAACACAACTCACTTGCTCACTACTTATTATGGCTGCTTGCCCAATTTTTAGTTTTTAATTATTATTATTATTTTTTAATTAATTTTTGCGTAAGAAACACACCATCACCACCATGTAAAGTTTATTAGTACAAATATTAATAATTATTATTGACTTTGAAAGTCATAATATTTGGGTTTCCAAATTTTTTCCTGAGTTAAAATAACACAATTTCGGGTAATAAATTGAATTTTTTTATAAAATCACATTGGCATAGTTTCTGAAGAAAACTTGTCCCAACTTTCTGGACAAAATGTTCTCTAAAAAATGATATCTGTTTCTAAGGATTTTTTTAATGAATAAATAGAACATTTTCTGGAAATGTTTCTGTAAATATTTGCGCAGCATTCAATTACATTTTTCTAAATGGGAGGTGACGTTTTTACATAAAATATTTACAGAACAGTGTTGGCTTGTTTGTTCGGGATACCATAGTATTTTGTTGTTGCAAAATGGTCAGGCTTAATCCCTTTATTGTTGTTTTTATAAAAACAACATTTGTTTATTAGTAAAGAACGATGGTAATGTTTATCAGGGGATAAGGCAGGGAATACCTAGGTTGAGTCACCAATCCTCATCAGTTCCCTTGTTTTTTTTTTTTTTTTTGTCTGGGATATTTTCCTCAGGAGTTATTTTAAAAATAACTCCCATGAAAAAAAAAACTTTTTCTTTACCCAAGTGACGTGATCGCTCACGACGAGAAGCTCAATAGAAGAGGAACCAAAGAATTACATAAAACTAAAATTCTTTTGGAAAATCTTCCAAATCTTACATCGGCATTTATAATAAACAAACATTGTTTTTTTTATAAAAACAACAATAAAGGGATTTAGCCTGACCATTTTGCAGCAATAAAATATTTACTCAAAAGATCTTCTGTGAGAGTTTCTGTAAAAAAATTGTTCTGCACAAACTCAATTTTTCTAAAAAGAAATTGAGGTTATAGCCCAAAATGTTTCATTATTTTTTTATTCAAATATACTTCCTTTATTGAATTTCTGAAGCAAACAGGCTTTCTAATTTCAATGAGTTTGCCGTCAAAGTTCAATTTTTGCCGGGTTCACAAAATAACCCTTTTTAAAATATTATAAAAAAAGAACTGCTGATTTTTTTTTTTCAAAATCCTTTTTTTTATTAGAAAGTACAATTAATAATGAAAACAAAATATATTTAATAATAAATTTCCTTAAAATCCTCCAAATCGTACTGTTAAAAAGTTAGGTTACGTTCGAATTTTTTTTATAATCTCCACCATAGTATGGAGGGCATATTAAGATTGTCATTCCGTTTGTAACACCTCGAAATATACATTTTTGACCCCAGCATAAAATTCTATGTCGATTTAGCGATGTCCGTTCGTCTATCCGTCTGTCCGTCAGTGGAAATCAATCTAGCTTCCGAACGAAATGAAGTAGATTAATAAATATTTTACTCAAATGTGTATTATGTCTGCAGGACTTTTGGTAATGAAAATGGGCCATGTAGGTCCACGTTTTGGTGTAGCCCCCATATAACGGCACATCCCGATATTCGGTTATTTGTTGATTTTAGCGACATTATTCACCGGAATCGTTTCAAATTTCGTATTGAAAGATCTGAATGGGTACTATAACTTATGGCAAAAAATTTCGTATGCAGGACCACGTCTTCGTATAGCTCCCATATAACGATACCTCCCGATATTCGGTATTTTGATGCTTTTAGCGACATTCTTCACCGGAATTGTTTCAAATTTGGTATTTGAAGTCCGTAATGGATGCTACAGCCTATGAAAGAAAATTGTCTATGCAGATCCACGTCTTCGTATAGCCCCCATATAATGGTACCTCCCGATATTTGGTATTTTAATGATTTTATCGACATTATTGACCGGAATTTTTTCAAATTTGGTATTTGAAGTCCGTAAGGGATACTGCAGCCTAAGGCAGAAAATTGTGTGTGCAGGTCCAGGTCTTCGTATAGCCCCATATAAAAGTAACCCCCGATATTCGGTATTTTGATGCTTTTAGCGACATTCTTCACCGGAATTGTTTCAAATTTGGTATTTGAAGTTCGTAATGGATACTACAACTTATGACAAGAAATTTCGTATGCAGATCCACGTCTTCGTATAGCTCCGTAATTGTAACAAATTTCGTATTTGAAGTTCGTAAGGGGCACTACAGCCTATGACAAAAAAATCGCATGCAGAAGACGTGGGTCTTCGTATAGTCACCATATAACGGTTTTCATTTAAGTGGTAGTTTTCGGAATTTTTTTTGAAAATTTTCAAGTTTCTCAAAAATGGTGGAGGGTGTTAAAAGTTCGGCCCGGCAGAACTTACTTGTTTTTTTTTTTTTTGAAGTTCCGTTTATTTCAAAGAATATTAATGTTTTATTAATAGGTTTTATCATTGCCTTGTGGAAAACATCTTCACAAAACCAAAAACTTTGGAATTACAAAATTTAAGAAAAACTAATGCAAATTTGAGGTTAGGTTTTGAAGGTATTTTTATAAAAATGTTCCATTTTTCATGACAGTAACCAAAAGATACAAATGTGAACATTTCTACAACAAAGATGCGGCAAAGCTATAAACATAGCCTTAATTTTTGAGTAGAGTGTTATTGAATCCCATGGATTTCTTAACAATTCCTACCTTTGTAAATGGTTTTAGAAAGATTGGTGCCCTTTCCTCCCATTTTTCTGTCAAAAACAAGACAATTTTGTAAAAAAAATCCTGTTTAGCTATTTCGTATTCCGGCATCTTATCCATTCCCCCATAGAGTCGCCCGTTATTCCCGAAACAATTTGAAAAAAAAAGAATAAAATAAGAAATGTATTTTTTAAATAATATATAAAAGAACCATACACCAAGTCATTAGGTGAATCACATTTGAATTGAAATTCAAAAAAATTCCACTCGAAAGTGAATTGCAAAAAAGAATTTATAAGAATATTCTGTTTATTTTATTTTTAGTAAAACAAAAGTAAAAAAAAGTAGCGTTGAAAATAAACTTGGCATTAAATTTTTTTGTGTAAATTTGCGTTGGTGTTCATTAGTGCGATATATCTTGAAATGACTGATGTACATGTGTGTTCGCGTTTCTGTGTGTATATAGAGAAGAAGTGTGTTTGTGTTTCTTATTTATTTATTTTTTTTTTTCGAAAATTAATCACATTCATTTGTGTTGAAGTATGTGTGCATTTGACACATATTGCAAATTTTAAAATTTATTGATTTCTTTTTACAATTTTTTTATTGATACATAAATAAAACGAATAAATATTTTTCTCTTTTAATTTGCTGGCAAATTATAATTTTTTTGTACATTATTTGCCCACCCTGAATTTTGTGAAATTGTACCTTATTTTTTTAATATACATATAAACATAAAAAATGTACTTAATGTGAAATATTTTAATTTAATTTAAATATTTTTTTGTTTAGCAAAATTATAAATCTGAAATAATATATAAATAAGCAATACGTAAATTCTTATTTTTTCTTTAACAATAATAATAATAATATTAGTGCAAACCTATTTTTTGGTAGTAATTAGTAATTAAATGATACTTGTAACTAATATTACACATCAAATGTATACACCTTCTTTTGTATGTATTGAATTTGAAACAAAAGAAAATGCAATGTAATATATCCAATTCTTTTCATATCAAAATAAAGAATAATAAAAACAACATCAATTTTTTTGGAAGAAATAGCTTTGTAACAAATTTACTAATAACTCAAAATATATATCACAGTTCATTATTGAAATTGTAAAGGTGAATATTTTGAAAATAAATGAAGAAAAATAATCACACATTCTTAACTACTTACACACCAAAAGTCAAATGGGAAAGAATTTCAAGAAATTGCTGAGAAGACATGTGAAAACAATTAACTTTTTAAATCAACTTAACATTTTTTTTAATTTCATCATTGAGTTTGAAGCAAAAATTCAAAATCAAACAAAATGTTTTTCGGGGTTATGTCTGAATGTTTATTTTTAACTTTTTCAACTCAGATAAACATAGGTTTTACAAAAAAATCCCATTGCCTGCAAATTTTCAAGATCAAGCACATATACAGGGTGAGATAAAAAAGACATTTTTTTACATAATTTTTACATTTTTTTTTTTGTTAGGTTCGGACACTTCTCGATATACATTTTTACATCCTTGAACACAAATGAAAATTGATTTTCAGAAAACAAAACTCGTGGCTTGTCATTTTTAAAATCAAAAAATTTTCGCAAAAAAATTAAAATAATTTAATATTTTTGAGGTTATGTTCAAATATTCCCCAGAGTGATGTTAATTTTTAATTAAAATTGCTTCGAAAGAACTATAATATTAAAGTATTTTATATAAACCAAAATTCAAGACCATAGAATCTCCGGAAATTTAAAATTAAAAAATAAAACAAAAAATTTTATGAAAAATATTTTTTGAGGTTAGATTCGAACACTACTTGTTCTACATTCAAACTTCTTTGGAGCACAAATGAAAATTGATTTCACAAAGAAACTCGTACTGGCTTGTACTTTTTAAAATCAAAAACTAATTTGCCAATAAAAATTTTGAAAAGAAAAATATTTTAAAAATTTTGAGGTTATGTTCAAATATTCAAAATAAAATGTGGTTAGCTTTCCTCCAAATTACTTCAAAAGAACTAAATTTTTTTTTATCTAATTCAAGACCATAAAACGAGATAGGCCCATAGTTCCTTTTAATGATCTGCATAGAATCACATTCTGAGTCGATTTATGCATGTCGTCCGTCCGTCCGTCCGTCTGTTTGTCCATGTATTTTTGTAAACAAAGTACAGTTCGCATTTATTGCCCTATCCAGATGAAATTTTGCACAAATCATTTGTTTGGAGACAATCGGTCAACATTTTGATATAGCTACCATATATATCTTCGTCCGATTTGCCTTTTATTGTGCACCAAACGTGTAATATCGGCCCGAATGGGATGGAATTTGGCACATACGACCGAATTGAGTCTAGAAGGTAGTATGTCAAATTTGGTGAAGATCGGTTCAGATATAGCTATAGCTCCCATATATACTGTTCATCCGATTTGTTATATTTGTTACGCACAGACGTAATATGCACTACGTAACAACGATATTCCGGGAAATATAACAAATACATCTCAGAAATATCTTTGCCAAATTTTATCGGGATCGGTTCCGATTTGGACATAACTTCCATATATATCTGTATCCGATTTCAAATTAATTGTGCACCAAATGGACAATACAATTCCGAATTTAAAAGATACAAATGCTTCTGCATATTTAGCCCTTTGAACTTTAAATTATAATTATAATCATAGCCTGTATGATTGAATTCTTTTAATTGTTATGCGGAGCTCTACTAAATTAGCAAAGTGGTGTAGGTTATCATAAAGTCGTCCCCGCCCGACTTTAAGACTTTCTTTACTATTTTTTTTTTGGTCCAAATCTTAAAATTTCTAAAAGAAAAAAAAACTAGAAAATATTCCCAAATTTCATTGACACCACGATCTTTTCCCTCTTCATTTGTATCTTTTCCATTTTATTATACTTTTTTAAATGATTTTTGTTTCATTCGTTTTTATTTTTATTTTTTCTTCTTTCTTGTTTTCTCTTTTGTTTTATTTCTTACAGACGGCATGATCATTATTACCCAAAAATTATGCCAACAAGAAAAACAACAACAACACGACCATTACATTGATAGATTTATTTATTCTCAAAACCGAAAACTTTCCAAGAACACAACAGACCATAGAAGCATTACCCCGAATAATATCCTATCAATGCAAAATTCAATCACAGAATCGGCATTAACGACCAACCACGACCAAAATCTTGATAATGATACTGAAAATGAAATCGATGATGCAACATTATTTGAGCAACTGCATGGCGGTTGTTTGCATCATTTTTTGCCAAACACACAAAACAACACAAGAGAAACAAAAATGAAAACGAAATCTAAAACCAATAAATTGGCGATGTTAGTGGCTAAGAATTTAGTTAGTATGGAAGAATTTTGAAGGAACCCACGAGCAAAAAAGAATATGAAATTAAAACGATGAATTTAGCATATCTGTAAACTATAGTTTATTATAAGTCGTTTTGTCAATTGTAGTTTACTTAATATTAATATTAACATTTTGCAACAAATAAATTACCTGCTTTCTTGTACCTATGTATATTTTTAATAATTTATGGCATATAATATTTTTGTTTTTATAAAATTTTGCTTAATTTTTTACTTTTTTCTCTCTCACAGTATCAACAACACACACAAAGTACAATATGCAATTTAAGTTTTGTAAATGAATTAATTATTTTTAAGTAAATATTTTTTTCTTATTTTGGAAATAAAGAAAACAATGAAATGAATTATAAAAATATAAATGGTTAATTAAAATATTTATTAATGCCTAAGCGGAATAATGGTAATTCATCGAGTTAAGTTGTTTAACTATGAAGACGTTTGAAGGGCCTAAAGTAAGTAACTGCTTTCTCTCTTCTTTAATGAAATTTATAATAAATTTTAATTTTTTATAGGCAAAATTACATGTGTTATTGGTTCGATCGCTGGAAAACAAGGTAAGTATTTTGTACTAGCATTTAAACAGGTCTTCTTTGGGTTGCACCATATAAGAATATAAATTGCCTTATATTTTATTAGTTTACAATTTGTTCTACCAATATCTCTAGTCTTATCTAGCCCCATACTCAACTTTGGGAGACTGATGTCAAAGAAGAACATGTTCCGAATCAAATTTCATTAGGGGTCACCAAGCAAAAGAAATCTTTTCAGGTAATATAGTTCAAATAAAGGTGCAAGTACATAAACAGCTTCAAGTCATGGCTAGGCATATTAATGTCAAATTATAATGGAAAACGACGGCAGGATTTTAGTGGTCCTCTGCAATCCCTTTTATGAAATGGCACAAAATATGCCTAGCCATGTCTTCAAGCTTCTTATTTACTTACACTTTAAATCAAATTGGAAATCGAAATAAGCCATAATATATTTTCAGGATTTTCTTAAAGGTTTTCGATTTGAGCAAGAATCTTCCATTATGGTTCATTTTTGAGGCGCGTTGTAAATGAAAAAAATATTCTATTTAAAATTTCACTAGGGGTCACAAAATGAAGAAAATCTGTATTCGTAATGTAGGTCAGTAAAATAGTCATAAACAAATTTGGAACAACAATTAATTAAATTTGATATTTCTATTTCCATTAACACATTTTGAATTCAATCAAAAACTGGCACAACGCTTCATTTTTGGCACTTGATGCCAACGAAGGAAATATTCTATATTTAATTTTACTATAGGTCTCCAAACAAACGAAGATCGTAGGAACTAAAAATCCCACCAAAAAAGAAGGAATCAAAATATGTTTTGAATTTATATGTTTTGAATTGGACAAAAATCTCCCATTTTTTGAACTTGTTGTCAATGAAGAATATGTTCTCCACTAAATTTCACTACGGGTCTTTAAACAGACTAAATCTGTAGGTACTTAAAATACCATATAAAAAGAAGGGATCAAATGCAGAATAATTGTATTTAGAATTCATTGATATTTACACATCTAGTGATATGTTATGAATTCGATCAAAAACTGACACAACCCTTCACTTTTGGAACTTGATGCCAATGAGGGAAATATTCTAAATTAAATTTCACAAGGGGTCTCCAAACAAACGAAATTCGTAGGAACTAAAAATCCCACCAAAAAGGAGAAATCAATTTGCAAAATAATTTTATTCATAATTCTTATTTTAGTTCTATTAAAATGTCTTGAATGGAGCAAAAATCCCCCCAATTCTTCACTTTTGGAACATGATGCCAACGGAGAAAATTACTTAATTTTACGTAGGGTCTCCAAACAAACGAAATCTTTAGGAACCAAAGTCCCAAATAAAAAATTGGAATCCAATGTAGCATCGAAATAAAATTATTATGTTTAAAAGTCATTTATACTTACCCAATAGCTTTTAGATATTTAGCTGAAATCTTCCAAATTTTTTCATATTTGAAGCTTAAGACCAATGAAGAAAATATTCCACATAAAATTTCACTATAAATTTCAAAACAAATCGAATCTTTATGATGCAATACATTGCAAGCCCATGGGGGTAACAAACTTTTTATCAAATCAATTTTCACATCCCTAATCGCGAAATATATTAAAGGAGATGGAAGAACTTTCGAAAAAGTTGTTTCAACCAAACGCGGTTTAGTTGTCTTGACAATTGTAGAAAAAATTAAAAAATATTTCAAAATGAAAAAATTTTAAATTTACCGCCTTTGAAAAACATGTTAACCGACATCGAAGTTGAACATTTTCAAGATAGGTCCGGCTTTGTTGTTTATTGTAGATTCAAACATTTTTCAATTTCTTTAGCCATGAATCGGACGTATAAGTTTCGGTCTCTTTATTTTGCTTATAGAAAATAAAAGATCGCGAAAAAATTCAACTTTTCAAGGAGCTTGTGATGGACAAAGCCAGAAAGTGATGAAATATGTTGAGATATGCAACTCCCCCTAAAGTTGGCTGTCAACAGCTGTCAGTTTCGAAAAAACCATTAAAATAAAAAAAATATAGGAGGAGGGTTTCAAACATTAAAAAGAAAAAAATTGACAATAATGTTGGAATACATTTTGATGTGAAGATCCTAGTACGCTTGCAGTGATGAAATATCTTGAGATATGCAACTCCGGCTTAAGCTGAATGTCAACAGCTGTCAGTTTCGAAAAAAATTAAAATTAAAATATATAGGAGGAAGGTTTCAAACATTCAAAAGAAAAAAAATCGACAATAATGTTGGAATACATTTTGATTTGAAGATCCTAGTACGCTTGCAGTCAAGGATGGCATTGTCAAGAAACAAAATGAAAATTAAAGATTGGAAAATTTTGGAATTGACTAAACTAAAAAAAGCGAATTTCAAAGGGAAAATATTTGGCAAATGAGACACCTAAAAATATATCTGATCAATGAGAACTTTATGTAAAATGAAACTGGGCACCATCATAATCGGAAAACAACAACCAAAATAATTGATATTGGAAAATTTAAGAAATTAAAAAAACGTAATGCAGCAAATTAATTGGATTCCAAGGCCATAATGAATAGAATAAAGAAAAAAAAGAAATCAAAAGACCTCAATGGGAGGTGGAATAGTTTGTCATATAATGCCTTCTCGCTGTCATGGAATGACAATCTTGGATGAATAAATATGTCAGAATTGGAAAAAGTAATGCAAATGATAGAGTTCATTGATAATGCTACTTCCAGTGATAAGTTTGGAATTGGATCAAGAACTGCCATAACGCTTCATTTTTGGAAGTTGATGCCAATGAGGAATATCTTCTTCTCTGAATTTAACTAGGAGTCTTCAAACAAACTAAACTTGTAGGTACTTAAAATACCATATAAAAAGGATTCATCAAATGCATAATAATTATTTTTAGAATTCCTTGATATTTCTACTTCTAGTGATATGTTTTGAATTGGATCAAAAACTGTCATAACGCTTCATATTTGGAACTTGATGCCAATGAAGAAAATATGCTATGTTAAATTTCACTGGAGGTCTCCAAACAAACGAAGATCGTAGGAACTAAGAGTCACACATAAAAAGGAGGAATCAAATGCAAAATGAATATTTTTATTATACCTTGATATTTCTACTTCCATTAATAGGTTTTGAATTGGACCAAATTCTCCCATAATCCTTCATTTTTTGAACATGATGTCAATGAAGAATATGTTCTTCACTGAATTTCACTAGGGGTCTTCAAACAAATTAAATCTGTAGTTAATTAAAATACCATATAAAATGGAGGCATCAAATGCAAAATAATTATTTTTAGAATTCCTTGATATTTCTACTTCCAGTGATTTGTTTTGAATTGAAACAAAAACTGGCACAACGCTTTATTTTTGGCACTTGAAGCCAATGAAGAAAATATTCTAAGTTAAATTTCACTAGAGGTCTCCAAACAAACGAAATTCGTAGGAACTACAAATACCACCAAAAAAGGAGAAATCAATTCGAAATAATAACATTCATAATTCTTATTTTTATTTCCATTAAAATATCTTGAAATTCGCAAAAGTCTTCCCCAATTCTTCACTTTTGGAACTTAATGCCAACAGAGAAAATTATCGTTACTAAATTTCACTAAAGGTCTACAAACAAACGAAATCTGTAGGAATCAAAAGTCCCGAATAAAAATTAGGAATCCAATGCAGGAAATAAACAAAATTATTAATATCTAAATTCCTTATTACTCACCCAATAGCTTTTAGAAATTTAGCTGAAATCTTCCAAAATTATTCATATTTGAAACTTAAGGCCAATGAAGAAAATGTTCCGCATAACATTTCACTATAAATTTCAAAACAAATTGAATCTTTATGATGCAATACATTGCAAGCCCATTAGGGGTAACAAATTATTTATCGAATCATTTTTTTACATCCTAAATCGCGAAATATATTGAAGGCGAAGGAGGCACTTTCTAAAAAGTTGTTTCAAACAATCGCGTATTAGTTGTCTTGAAAATTGTAGGAAAATTTAAAAAAAAAAATCCAAAATGAAAAAATTTGAAACTAAAAATTTAAAATTTACCGCCTTTGAAAATCATGTTAACCGACATTGAAGTTGAATATTTTCAAAATAGGTCCGGCTTTGTTGTTTATTGTAGATTCAAACATTTTTCAATTTCTTTACCCATGAATCGGACGTAGAAGTTTCGGTCTCTTTATTTTGCTTTTAGAAACTAATTGTTCGCGAAAAAATTCAACTTTTCAAGAAGCTTGTGATGGACAAAGCCAGAAAGTGATGAAATATGTTGAGATATGCAACTCCCGCTGAAGTTGGCTGTCAACAGCTGTCAGTTTCGAAAAAAGCATTAAAATGAAGAAAAGATTGACGGAGGATTTCAAACATTCAAAAGGAAAAAATCGACAATAATGTTGGAATAGATTTCGATGTGAAGAAGTACGCTTGCAGTGATGAAATATGTTGAGATATGCAACTCCGGCTTAAGCTGAATGTCAACAGCTGTCAGTTTCGAAAAAAAAATTAAAATTAAAAATAATATAGGAGGAGGATTACAAACATTCAAAAGAAAAAATCGACAATAATCTTGGAATACATTTTGATGTGAAGATTCTAGCACGCTTGCAGACAAGGATGGCATTGTCAAGAAACAAAAAGAAAATTAAAGATTGGAAAATTTTGAAATTGACTAAACTACAAAAAAACCCAATGTCAAAGGGAAAATATTTGACAAATGAGACACCCAAATATATATCGGATCAATGAGAACTCTATGAGAACTCTCTGTAGTTAATTAAAATACCATATAAAATGGAGGCATCAAATGCAAAATAATTATTTTTAGAATTCCTTGATATTTCTACTTCCAGTGATTTGTTTTGAATTGAAACAAAAACTGGCACAACGCTTTATTTTTGGCACTTGAAGCCAATGAAGAAAATATTCTAAGTTAAATTTCACTAGAGGTCTCCAAACAAACGAAATTCGTAGGAACTACAAATACCACCAAAAAAGGAGAAATCAATTCGAAATAATAACATTCATAATTCTTATTTTTATTTCCATTAAAATATCTTGAAATTCGCAAAAGTCTTCCCCAATTCTTCACTTTTGGAACTTAATGCCAACAGAGAAAATTATCGTTACTAAATTTCACTAAAGGTCTACAAACAAACGAAATCTGTAGGAATCAAAAGTCCCGAATAAAAATTAGGAATCCAATGCAGGAAATAAACAAAATTATTAATATCTAAATTCCTTATTACTCACCCAATAGCTTTTAGAAATTTAGCTGAAATCTTCCAAAATTATTCATATTTGAAACTTAAGGCCAATGAAGAAAATGTTCCGCATAACATTTCACTATAAATTTCAAAACAAATTGAATCTTTATGATGCAATACATTGCAAGCCCATTAGGGGTAACAAATTATTTATCGAATCATTTTTTTACATCCTAAATCGCGAAATATATTGAAGGCGAAGGAGGCACTTTCTAAAAAGTTGTTTCAAACAATCGCGTATTAGTTGTCTTGAAAATTGTAGGAAAATTTAAAAAAAAAAATCCAAAATGAAAAAATTTGAAACTAAAAATTTAAAATTTACCGCCTTTGAAAATCATGTTAACCGACATTGAAGTTGAATATTTTCAAAATAGGTCCGGCTTTGTTGTTTATTGTAGATTCAAACATTTTTCAATTTCTTTACCCATGAATCGGACGTAGAAGTTTCGGTCTCTTTATTTTGCTTTTAGAAACTAAATGTTCGCGAAAAAATTCAACTTTTCAAGAAGCTTGTGATGGACAAAGCCAGAAAGTGATGAAATATGTTGAGATATGCAACTCCCGCTGAAGTTGGCTGTCAACAGCTGTCAGTTTCGAAAAAAGCATTAAAATGAAGAAAAGATTGACGGAGGATTTCAAACATTCAAAAGGAAAAAATCGACAATAATGTTGGAATAGATTTCGATGTGAAGAAGTACGCTTGCAGTGATGAAATATGTTGAGATATGCAACTCCGGCTTAAGCTGAATGTCAACAGCTGTCAGTTTCGAAAAAAAAAATTAAAATTAAAAATAATATAGGAGGAGGATTACAAACATTCAAAAGAAAAAATCGACAATAATCTTGGAATACATTTTGATGTGAAGATTCTAGCACGCTTGCAGACAAGGATGGCATTGTCAAGAAACAAAAAGAAAATTAAAGATTGGAAAATTTTGAAATTGACTAAACTACAAAAAAACCCAATGTCAAAGGGAAAATATTTGACAAATGAGACACCCAAATATATATCGGATCAATGAGAACTCTATGAGAACTCTCTGTAGTTAATTAAAATACCATATAAAATGGAGGCATCAAATGCAAAATAATTATTTTTAGAATTCCTTGATATTTCTACTTCCAGTGATTTGTTTTGAATTGAAACAAAAACTGGCACAACGCTTTATTTTTGGCACTTGAAGCCAATGAAGAAAATATTCTAAGTTAAATTTCACTAGAGGTCTCCAAACAAACGAAATTCGTAGGAACTACAAATACCACCAAAAAAGGAGAAATCAATTCGAAATAATAACATTCATAATTCTTATTTTTATTTCCATTAAAATATCTTGAAATTCGCAAAAGTCTTCCCCAATTCTTCACTTTTGGAACTTAATGCCAACAGAGAAAATTATCGTTACTAAATTTCACTAAAGGTCTACAAACAAACGAAATCTGTAGGAATCAAAAGTCCCGAATAAAAATTAGGAATCCAATGCAGGAAATAAACAAAATTATTAATATCTAAATTCCTTATTACTCACCCAATAGCTTTTAGAAATTTAGCTGAAATCTTCCAAAATTATTCATATTTGAAACTTAAGGCCAATGAAGAAAATGTTCCGCATAACATTTCACTATAAATTTCAAAACAAATTGAATCTTTATGATGCAATACATTGCAAGCCCATTAGGGGTAACAAATTATTTATCGAATCATTTTTTTACATCCTAAATCGCGAAATATATTGAAGGCGAAGGAGGCACTTTCTAAAAAGTTGTTTCAAACAATCGCGTATTAGTTGTCTTGAAAATTGTAGGAAAATTTAAAAAAAAAATCCAAAATGAAAAAATTTGAAACTAAAAATTTAAAATTTACCGCCTTTGAAAATCATGTTAACCGACATTGAAGTTGAATATTTTCAAAATAGGTCCGGCTTTGTTGTTTATTGTAGATTCAAACATTTTTCAATTTCTTTACCCATGAATCGGACGTAGAAGTTTCGGTCTCTTTATTTTGCTTTTAGAAACTAAATGTTCGCGAAAAAATTCAACTTTTCAAGAAGCTTGTGATGGACAAAGCCAGAAAGTGATGAAATATGTTGAGATATGCAACTCCCGCTGAAGTTGGCTGTCAACAGCTGTCAGTTTCGAAAAAAGCATTAAAATGAAGAAAAGATTGACGGAGGATTTCAAACATTCAAAAGGAAAAAATCGACAATAATGTTGGAATAGATTTCGATGTGAAGAAGTACGCTTGCAGTGATGAAATATGTTGAGATATGCAACTCCGGCTTAAGCTGAATGTCAACAGCTGTCAGTTTCGAAAAAAAAAATTAAAATTAAAAATAATATAGGAGGAGGATTACAAACATTCAAAAGAAAAAATCGACAATAATCTTGGAATACATTTTGATGTGAAGATTCTAGCACGCTTGCAGACAAGGATGGCATTGTCAAGAAACAAAAAGAAAATTAAAGATTGGAAAATTTTGAAATTGACTAAACTACAAAAAAACCCAATGTCAAAGGGAAAATATTTGACAAATGAGACACCCAAATATATATCGGATCAATGAGAACTCTATGTGAAATGAAATTGGACACCGTCATAATCGGTAAACCACAACCAAAATAATTGAGATTGGAAAACTTAGGAAATTAAAAAACTTAATGCAGCAAAAGGCCGTAATGGGAGGTGGAATAGTTTGTCATATAAAGCCTCCTCGCTGTCAAGAAATGACAATCTCGGATGAATGAAAAAATCAGAATTGGAAAAAGTATTGGAAATGATAGAATTCTCTGATATTGCTGCTTCCAGTGATATGTTTGGAATTGAATCGAGAACTGCCATAACGCTTCATTTTTGGAACTTGATGCCAATGAAGAAAATATTCTAAGTTAAATTTCACTAGGGGTCTTCTAACAAACGAAATTCGTAGGAACAAAAAGTCCCACATAAAAAGGAGGAATCAAATGCAAAATTAATATTTTTAGTATACCTTGGTATTTTTACTTCCAATAATAGGTTTTGAATTGGGTCAAAATCTCCCATAATTCTTCATTTTTTGAACTTTGTGTCAATGAAGAATATGTTCTTCACTAAATTTCACTAGGCGTCTTCAAACAAACTAAATCTGCAGGCACTAAAAATTCCATATAAAATTAAGTCATCAAATGCAAAATAATTATTTTTAGAATTCTTTCATATTTCTATTCCAGTTATATGTTGTGAATTCGATCAAAAACTGGCACAACGCTCCATTTTTGGAACTTAATGTCAATGAAGAAAATATTCTAAGTTACATTTTACTGGGGGTCTCCAAACAAACAAAAATCATTGGAACTTCAAATCTCAAAGAAAGGGAGAAATCGATTCGCAAAAAAATTATATTCATAATTCATATTTTTATTTCCATTAAAATGTCTTAAAATTGGCAAAAATCTTCCCCAATTCGTCACTTTTGCAACTTGATGCCAACGGAGAAAATGATCGTTACAAAATTTCACTCAGGGTCTCCAAACAAACGAAATCTTTAGGAACCAAAGTCCCAAATAAAAAATTGGAATCCAATGTAACAACGAAATAAAATTATTGTGTTTAAAAGTCCTTTATACTTACCCAATAGCTTTTAGATATTTAGTTGAAATCTTCCGAAATCTTTCATATTTGAAGCTTAGGACCAATGAAGAAAATGTTCCTCATAAAATTTCACTATAAATTTCAAAACAAATCGAATCTTTATGATGCAATACATTGCAAGCCCATGGAGGTAACAAATTCTTTATCAAATCATTTTTTTAACATCCTTAATCGCGAAACATATTAAAAGCGAAGGAAGAGCTTTCGAAAAAGTTGCTTCAACCAAACGCGGATTAGTTGTCTTGAAAATTGCAGGAAAAAATTAAAAGAATTTCCAAAATGAAAAAAAAATTTGAAACAAAAAATTTTAAATTTACCGCCTTTGAAAATCATGTTAACCGACATCGAAGTTGAACATTTTCAAAATAGGTCCGGCTTTGTTGTTTACTGTGGATTCAAACATTTTTCAATTTCTTTACCCATGAATCGGACGTATAAGTTTCGGTCTCTTTATTTTGCTTAAAGAACATAAAAGTTCGCGAAAAAAATCAACTTTTCAAGGAGCTTGTGATGGACAAAGCCAGAAAGTGATGAAATATGTTGAGATATGCAACTCCCGCTGAAGTTGGCTGTCAACAGCTGTCAGTTCCGAAAAAAGCATTAAAATGAAAAAAAGATTGACGGAGGATTTCAAATATTCAAAAGAAAAACATCGCCAATAATGTTGGAAGAGATTTCGATGTGAAGATCCTAGTGCAAATATGGTCAAGGATGACACTGTCAAAAAACAAAATGAAAATTGAAGATTGAAAAATTTTGGAATTGGAAGAGACTCGGAAAAAATTAACAGAAAAATTGAAAAAAATAATTGACAAATGAGTCACCTTAAAATGAGAACTTCATGTAAAATGAAATTGGACCCCGTCATAATCGGTAAACCACAACCAAAATAGTTGAGATTGGAAAATGCAGCACATCAAAAGGCCGTAATGGAGTGGAATAGTTTGTTATATAAAGCCTCCTCGCAGGCAAGGAATGACAATCTTGGATGAATGAAAAAATCAGAATTGGAAAAGATATTGCAAATGATAGAATTCATTGATAATTTGGAATTGGATCAAGAGCTGCCATAACGCCTCATTTTTGGAACTTGAGGAATATGTCCAATGAGGAATATGTTCTTCACTGAATTTCACTAGGGGTCTGTAGGTACTTAGAATACCATAAAAAAGGGGGCCATCATATGCCAGCCATTATTTTTAGAATTCCTTGATATTTCTACCTCCAGTGATATGTTTTGAATTGGATCGAGAATTGCCATTACGCTTCATTTTTGGAACTTGATGCCAATGAAGAAAATATTCTACATTAAATTCGTAGGAACTAAAAGTCCCACATAAAAAGGAGGAATCAAATGCAAAATTATTTTTTTTAGTATACCTTGGTATTTCTACTTTCATATGAATTGGACCAAAATCTCCCGTAATCCTTCATTTTTTGAACGTGGTGTCAATGAAGAATTTGTTCTACACTAAATTTCACTAGGGGTCTTTAAACAGACTAAATCTGTAGGTACTTAAAATACCATATTAAAAGGCATCAAATGCTAAATAATTATTTTTAGAATACCTTGATATTTCTACACCTAGTAATATGTGTTGAATTGGACCGAAAACTGGCACAACAGCTCATTTTTGGAACTTGATGCCAATAAAGAAAATATTCTTTGTTAAATTTCACTAGGGATTTCCAAACAAACAAAAATCGTAGGATCTTAAAATCTCGAATAAAAAGGAGAAATCAATTTGCAAAAAATATGTAAGGGTCTGTAAGTGTCTCAATACTTACCCAATAGCTTTTAGATATTTAGCTGAAATCTTCAAAAATCGTTCATATTTGGAGCTTAAAATCAATGAACGAAATGTTCCTCATAAAATTTCACTATAAATTTCAAAACAAATCGAATCTTTATGATGCAATACATTGCAAGCCTATTCTTTTCAAATCATTTTTTAACATCCTTAATCGCGAAACATACTTAAAACGAAGGAAGAGCTTTCTAAAACGTTGTTTGCACCAATCGTGGTTCAGTTGTCTTGAAAATTGTAGGAAATATTAAAAATATTTCAAAATAAAAAAAAATTTGAAACTAAAAATTTAAAATTTACCGCCTTTGAAAATCATGTTAACCGACATCGAAGTTGAACATTTTCAAAATAGGTCGGGCTTTGTTGTTTGCTGTGGATTCAAACATTTTTCAATTTCTTTACCCATGAATCGGACGTATAAGTTTCGGTCTCGTTATTTTGCTTAAAGAACATAAAAGTTCGTGAAAAAAATCAACTTTTCAAGGAGCTTGTGATGGATAAAGCCAGAAAGTGATGAAATATGTTGAGATATGCAACTTCCGCTTAAGCTGGTTGTCAACAGCTGTCAGTTCCGAAAAAAAAAATAAAATTAAAAAAAAATGATTGGAGAAGGATTTCAAAATTTTAAAAGAAAAAAAAATCGACAATAATGTTGGAATAGATTTCAATGTGAAGATCCTAGAGCAAATACAGTCAAGGATGACATTATCAAGAAAACAAAATAAAAATTGAAGATTGAAAAATTTTGGAATTGGAAGAGACTCAGAAAAAAAAAAATAACAGGAGAAAAAAAAAAGAATTTCAAAAGGAAAATATTTGAGAAATGAGTCACTACTTTAGAATATATCCGATCAATGAGAACTTCATGGAAAATTAAATGGGGCACCATCATAATCGGTAAACCACAACCAAAATGATTGAGATTGGAATCTTTTGAAATTTGAAAAACTTAATGCAGCAAATTAATTGGACTCCAAGGCAATAATGAATTGAATAAAGAAAAAAAGAAATCAAAGGCCTAATTAGACGTGGAATAGGTTGCCATATGAAGTCTCCTCGCTGTCAAGGAGTGACAATGTATGGAAAAACTCATAATAGTATTGCAAATGAAGAATGCCAACATCGCCAAATTAAAAGCCTTTGAAATGATTGAATCAATTGATCCCATCCCATTCATGCTATCGAGGTATGTGAGATTTCAAAATAAAAAAGAAGTGAAATGTAGTGATCATTATTTTAAAAGCGGTCCTCTAAAATATGTTATAAAAGACTTCTTCATATCCTAGTACTGTTAAAGATTTTCTTTATTGAAATGATTGAATCAATTTAAATGAAAAGATCTCATGCATGCTATCGAGGTATGTCATATTCCAAAATAAAAAAAAATAAAAAAGAAGTGATAGGTAGTGATCATTTTAAAAGCGGTCCTCTATAAGACGTTATAAAACACTTCTTCATATCCTAGTGCTGTTAAAGATTCTCTTTAGACGGAAATGTCGACATTGTAAAGAGGTTCTCTATAGATACTACAGATTACAAAGATCTTGGTGAATATGGCAGCTTCTAAAGGACATATGTTGTTGATAGAAGGCCTTTCCGACATCGTCAATAAATAGAAGGCCTTTATATTGATCCTTTGTAGACTTTCCATAGAATCATAAAAACATTAGTCAGTTATTTCTTAATATGTCTTCTGAAGATGGAAGGAATTTATTTATTCATCTTATTAATTTATACACTTGTAACACAAAAACCGTCATGACCTAAATAAAGTATTACAAGGCATTACAATAATCCTGATAATGTAAACTAATTTCATGATATTGGCTCCCCAGCCAGATCTATTTTAAAAAGAGCACATGAAAGAACGTTTATATGATCCGTTAGCAACAAAAAATATATTAAAATATAATTAAATTTCATAAAAATGTTCGCTTAATTTTAAACTAAAATCGAAAATTGATTTTAAGGGAATATTATTTAATCGTTTCCATTTTTATACTTTTATACTTTTATAATGAACAAAGAATAAATGTAGGGCCTGTAAACAAAGATGCATCATTTGCTTTGAACGTTTGCAATGTGTTTTATACCATAACTCAGAGCATACTTTGAGGCGTTATATGTTTTTATGCATTGTTTACATCTTCATCGATAATTAAACTACGAGGAAACAATTACAATGAAATATATTTGTAATACAGATTGAAATATTTTTTCCGAAACATATCTATATTATCTATATTATATCTCTATTGGAAAAGAGTAGCAAACCTTCTTCCATGTATAGTCATATAATGTTGACCCCTTTTAAGTTTTCCTTTCCAGTACTTTCTGAGTAAAATATAATATTTTTTTCCAGAAAACGTTGTTTCCAGTCGGCTTCATGATCCGAAATATCCCCAGTTCTACTCGTTCAAGTGTAGTTACCTAACTTCCTTTTCCTCAAAAGAAAAACGTTTGGTTTTTAGGGTTATTTTATTTTATTTTTTCAACATAACAATTATAACGGAATTGTGTGATCGATTAAATACATATGGAGGAGAAAAGTATCTATGTATAGTATGTATATAATAATTGTATATTGATTAAATGAAATATATGTATATGTATTTGTTTGTTTTCTTTTATTTTGTATATATTTACACAACACGTATACCAACACTATTTTCGGTAGACAATCGTTTTACATTTAACATCAAAGGATTCATGTTACAATCCCTTTATAATCCATAATTCCAATACACTTTTTAGATAGCCTTCATTTTGAATTTCCCGCCTTTTTCATTTCCGAACAATCTACTGTATTTGTTCTCCTTTCGATTTCTTTCGACCAATAAATCGATGACAAATGGCAATTGATGTACCAGCACTTTGTTTATTTCCAGATTCCTGTTCCACATCAGCGGCAGACTGTTGACCAGTTGCAGTTCTTAGAATTGAATAATTGGAATTCTCCCCACCATCCTGGCGGCTATGATGTATGCCATAACCAAAATACATGAGCATGCCCAAGGAAACCCAAATGAAAAAACGTAACCAGGTGACAAAACTCAAATGGACCATTAATGCTATATTGGCAAAGATACTTAGAGCAGGAAAAACGGGTACAAATGGTACCTTAAATGTCAGGCCCTGGGTGTTTTGGGTGTAGGCACCAATCAATGTTACACACGCCAAGGCAAAGAACAAAATGAAGCCGTTGAATAGGAAAGTCCAATACGAAGCATCATCCGCCTTGGAATCCGTCCAATACACCTTCAATTGGAAACAAATACCAAAGGTGAAGATGCAAAACAACATAACACACGTGGAAACAACTCGCTCCGGTTCAAAGCAGCCCACCAATGGTTCCAGCCATTTATATTTTGCCTTTAAATACACACCAGAACTACGGCCAATCAATTCTCCTGTCTGGGATATGGTATCAGCACTGGAATTCTCCGACAAACTATCTGCTTCATAGTCCAAGTTTTCACTTTCCGAGGAATCGGGAGCATAAATCAAACTCTCAGGTTTTAGGGGGCGATAACGTAAAACTATGACACTTGCAGCCACAATGGTATAGGCCAGAAGAGTTCCAATGGACATGAATTCCACCAAATGTTTGAGATCAAAAACCAAAGCCAGAAGGGCACTAAATGTCCCAGAGGCCAGTAAATTCAAGACCGGCACCTGGGTCATGGAATTCACTCGACCAAAACAGCTGAATAGTAAACCATCACAGGCCATGGCGTACAGACATCTGGGCAGGGCAAATAATGAACCCAGCAAAGTGGTTGTCATGCCACACAGGGCCCCAATGGTAATTATTATCTTTGCCCAGGGTAGACCCAATTGACCAAATGCCTCTGGCAAAGAAGCCGAGGGATTAATTTGATCCGTGGGTATCATGAGGGTAAGGGCAGCACTGACCAATATATATCCTGCGGACACGGCACTCAGCGACACCAACGTTGCAATGGGCACCGAGGAGGCTGGATTTCTGGCCTCCTCCGCTGACGTGGCAATCGAATCAAAACCCACAAAAGCATAAAAACATGTGGCAGCTCCTGCAATCACCCCACCAAAACCATAGGGCAGAAAACCACCATCAGCCTGGAACCAATTCTGTAAATCAGCATACCAGAAACCCACACAAATGACCAAAAGCATAACGCCAATATTGATCAGAGTCAAAATACCATTGAAGGCAGCCGTTATCTTTACACCCAAGGCCATGGCCAAGGCATAGACAAGACAAATTAGACAAGCCAAAACATCTGGATACTGGGCCAATAAATCGCTGTCATAATGTGCCTCTCCACCAAGCAGCGCCAAGGTGGTGTTCTTTATCCATCCACCCAGAAGACTATCCACATAACCACTCCAGGCCCTCGATACCGAGGCAGCACCCAACATATGTTCCAAACAAATATTCCAGCCAATGATAAAGGCCCAAAATTCACCCACCGCAATGTACGTGTAGACATAAGCCGCTCCAGCCTTGGGTACACGAGTGCCAAATTCAGCATAACATATGGCAGCCAAAATGGAGACCAAACCAGCCAAAAAGAAACTGAAGATAATACCGGGGCCGGCAATATCTTTGGCCACCGTGCCGGTGAGTACGTAAATGCCAGCTCCCACCATGTGGCCAATACCTAAAGTAAAAATAAAGCAACATTTCAAAATCAAATTTAACAATACATTCTTGTTTTTTATAGATCCTACCCAGCAAAGTAATATCCAACGTGGATAGGCAACGTTTCAAGGTATCCTGTGAACGTCCACCATCATTTGGCAACGACTTTTTACGATTCATTTTCTCGCATATGCTGGATAGCACATGGGCCAATATCACTCCACCACGTTTTCCGGTCATTGTTTTTTGGTTTTTACTTTTTCCACCCACAGGTAAGAATGTTGTCCTTCAACGAATTTTCATTTGCACCTGAGCCAATGGCCAATATTCTAAGGAGAGAAAGTAGTAAAACACTTGCTTAGTAATGCGATTATGTTTAAGGGCCATATGAGTTAATCTCTGCATAAGAAAAGTGGTGTATTATGGATGGATGATAGCTTATCTACAGGGTGAGATAAAAAACTGCAACAAAGTCAAACGCCTTAATTTTTACATTTTATTGAATGAACGCAAAAAAAGTCGGAAATAGCATCAAATTTTAGAATAAGTTTAGAATTGTTCGAATTGGTCACCTTTGGCACGAATTATGGCCTTCCACCACGGCCAAAGAAACCGTCACACGCTGCCGGAATGTTGCTCTGCGCTATTTTGGCCCATTCCCGGCGAAGCGCTTGCTTGAGGTGATTGACACTTTGGTATTTTTTAGTGCCAAACTTGCTTTCCAAAATACTTCAGACATAATAGTCCAAGGGATTGGTATCCGGAGATTTTTGTGGCCATTGTGAGCTAGAAATGAAGCGAGGAACCTCATTTTGTAACCATTCTTGGGTGGCGCGTGCTGAGTGCGATTGTTATGAGTCCTGTTGTAATGTCCAAGGTCTGCGGCCAAAATGTTTGCGTGCCCAAGGCTTTAATACACCTTTCAGAATATAATATTCGACATTTATTCTGATGCCACGGTCGATTAATACAAGCGGAGAGCGACCATCGGCTGTTATGGCGGCCCACTCCATCACCGTGACCGGCGCTTGAGTTCTGGTGGCCAACCGAAGATACACATTTTCAGCTGACCTCTTTGGCAAGTAAACACGATCATTTTGTTTGTTTATAAACTGCTGGACAACGAATGTTTTCTCATCGTGGGCGTAGAAAACCAAATTCGGCAATTCACCACTTTCGGCCAAGCGAAGCAACTCTTTAGCTCTTTTGAGTCTATTTCCTTTCTGTTGCGTGGTGTAAATTCTTGCACTTTTTTGAATTTCAATGGCTTTACCCCGAGCTCATTCGTCAATATTTGCCGAATGGAATATTACGATATGTTTAGCTCACGAGCCATTTTTCGGCCACTGCGACGCGGGTTTCGATCAAGTAGCTTCTTTACTTTTCGAACCATTTCTGCTGATGTTGCTGTTTTTTTCCGTCCACCGTCGGGCTACGCTACCAGTATCACGATAACCAGCGAATGCTGGAGTGCTCCAACGATAGCCACTTGTGGTTTTCCAGCCAAATATAAAGAAATCACACCTGAATCACGCTTGAATTCCATCACGAATAACTTTTTTCTGGAAAATTTTCACCAAAATGCTATTTTACGCTTTTAAACAATATAATAAGCTGTCACTGGAATAATTTTAAAAGCTGTCGGACGAATGGCTTAGAAATGACAGCAGTCTGAAGTTGGTTTGCAGTTTTTTCATCTCACCCTTTAGAAAAAATAGTTTAAAAATCGAACTCTTCCAATCGAGTGCCAATTGATATAAATATATTTTACAACAGGTTTCCTAGAGATAGAAGAGAGCTTTATAGATCAACCGGCCTTTATGGATCTTCTGTTGATAGAACCTCAAGAAAAATTAAAAAAGAAACTATGTACTTCTTTTCCCTAGTCTCCTATTGTTGTTTGCCATGTATTTCCTTTATGTTAAAGTAATTTCAAAAAATGAAGCATACTTGTAGGAGTAACCTTAAACATCATGCAGTGTTTACATCAATGTTGATAGCACTAAATGTAATGGGCTGACTTTGAGGAGAGATATGTAATTACTAGTGTTTTTTACTTAATTTGAGATTTATGAAGGAGGAAGACTAATGTAAAAAACTCCTTTATTTGGAAAATCTAATAAATTCCACTTAAGCCTACGTTGTATAGCTATAGACCAATGTTGATAGCATAACATGTAATGGGCTGACTGAGGGAAGATATATGTCTACAAGTGCTTTTTATTTCATTTGATACCTATAGGGGAGGAAGACCAATGTCTGAAACTCCTTTATTTGGAAAATCTACTGAATTTCACTCAAATCTACGTTGCTATAGACCAATGTTGATATCATAATTTTGATGACTTTGAGGAGAGCTATGTAATTACTAGCGTTTTTTATTTAATTTGAGCCCTATGGAGGAGGAAGATAAATGTCTAAGACTGTATGGAAAATCTATTAAATTCCACTGAGACCCCAGTATGATAATAGATTAAATAATGCATCGCCGGTTCCGGTATATATTTTAATGCGTTTCTTTTGGGTACAATAAATGTAGAAAAGAGGAAGAGAAGACTATTAAGAGTTTCTATAGAAGTAGAAAACGTACAAGTGTAATTTATAGATAACAATTTCTTCTTAAGATATTTTATGCCTTAAAATATGGAAGAGACTTAACTTTTTGGAGAAGCAAGAATAGAATCATAGAACTAGACTTGACCTTTATTTACTTCACATTCCGAGTTACCTTCATTAATGGAATAGCTTCTAAATGTAGACCAGATGGATACAGCATGTGTCTACTTAAAAATTATTATAAGGGTTATCATTTCGAGGGAGTCTCCGGCGAGAATTTGAATTGCAGTCAATATTTACATTCCGCCCACATAAAAAAATCACAAGAAGCACAAGTCCCTTGCCATTTATGATGTAACATATTGTTCAAAACCCGAAAAATGACCCATCTAATATAATTAACAATTTAAAATGATATTAAGTATTTTCAAGCTTCCACCTTCTTCTAAACATGGATTAACTCATATACGGACATGCATTTATATGTATAACTACACATATGTTTGCAAATTCATCACACATCCTGTATAGATTTTTCCCTACAATTCCAATTGTTTGCAAATTGACTTTTCAATTTCTTACTTGTTGTTGCAGCTACTTTTCAATTATTTCCCAACTTTCACTTTCACCAGGTGTATTATTGAATTATTTCATAATCAATTTATGCTTTAATTAATTGTCCTCCTGCCTGCCTTTTAAAAATTGTTGTTGTTTTTTCTCTTCACTTTTCCGGAAGCTGTTAGTTTAGTTTTTCCCTTAGTTTTTAATGATTTTCTAATTTTTACCGACAACCACAAACGATGATGGCAAATTGAAAAACAAGTAGTTATTCAATGTCAATGATGTTGCTTGCTCCACAGCAGCAGGCCAGGACATGCGCAGTTTAGAGGCTTTTGAATGGCATCCTGACTGACGGTTGGTGGGTGGCATCAATGGACTCTATCTAAGGTTGGTTTGTTGCTGTTGTCATTTGGATAACTCACTTGTTGAGCAAACATGTGTTCGTTCATTCGTCCTTCTAGGCCATTTATATGAATTTCCGCACAGCTGTTGTGTGCAATAAAAATTCCGAAATGTAGTTATGGTTTTGTGAATGAATGGCATAAGGGGGGCGAGAACAATGGGGGGAATTTGTTCCACTTATATTCCACACAAAGGAAGTTTGAGTTTTTTAGATATCATGTAATTTATGAGGTGAAATCAATGCGAATGGTAAACAAAACAAGGGTTATTGCTCTTAAGTGTCGTGGTAATTGATCACCTATCGGTTGTATTCTTTTGATATAGCATGTGGTGAAATTTTCAGTCAATTGCATTGTTATTTCATGGAATTTTTCCCACGAGAACCAACATAGTACCATTCTACCTTAATACTTGATTATTATTATTGTACCTCAATACTTAATTATTGATTAACGAATATTTTAAATTATTTGTTTTCCATTTTATCTGTAAATTCTTTAATCATAACGTTTGTCAAAATGTTTATTGAAAGCCTAAAACTATGCTTTATGTTTTAATTGCAAAGCACAGGGTAACACGATAAACTAAATAATGCCAAAACAGTGTTGTTTTATATTAATTTGCCGTTAGATGTCTCTCAGCCAGTTTTAAGCACTTTAATGCTAGGAACACAATTGGAGCGAACGACGAATTTCGCCCTACGCGGCGACAAAATGAGCCGCGAAAATTCGTCGTATGGAACACAATACCGACGAAATTATAAAACAGCTGATGAAGTCGTTTACTTTTTGCTCATTTGTTGACTACAATGAATTATACAAGAACACATAATTCTTTACGTTCTCTATTATAATTTCACTTATGTCCATCTTCTCTATTATAAATTCACTGATATCCATCTTCACTCAGGCGCAAGTACACAAATAAATAAACAAATTAATTATGTTTTTTTATACGAGTAACAGATAGTAGAGTGACCATAACAAATTTTAAAGTAAAAAGTAACTTTATTTACTAAAACACATAAAATTCGTACAAGTATGGCCACCTTGTACTGTTTTGTTCGCCGGTCGCCGGCGTATGAAATAGAAATAAAGCTAATTGAGTTCGCGGCGACCGACGAAATTTTCGCCGGTGCCGTGATTGTGTGCACTTTCATATACACATATGTGTTTTATTTTTGACGACGAACATACGCCGCGAAAAAAATCGTCGTTCGCTCCAATTGTGTTCCTAGCATAAAGTGGTATTGTTTTGAAAAGTCAGAACGTTCGTGTTCAAAGCATAAAAACGTTCGCGTTTTGCCTTTATGTTATGTGTAAATTCACGGGCTATAACCAAAGATCTTCTGGAATTAGTTCTCAATATGAATTGAGACGGCTGGACCATATTTGCGCCAAAACTACCCTGGTTTGTCTAGACAGCCTAGTGGTCTTTGAGGACGGCATTCATACTTTAGTTGTTGATTGCATCTGTGACTGCCTGATGGGCTTTTTAATCTGAAGGCACTCTCTTATAGCGTTGGACTTTCTTCTGCAGATCGTGCAGATCCTTCCTGACACGTCTGAGGGGGGGGGGGGTATTTTTATTCACTATATGATGGTTTAGATGACTCCCACGAGAGCACACAAACAGGTACTGCAACGAAATGCAAATTCTTGTCGGACAAATGTTAATTCTTGTCTTCTACTCCTTCTCCTTCCGGTTAATTATATTTGTACAAGTAATTTGAAACATCTTCATTTTGGAAATGCATTTTTGCGTGCTTCATCTCTCTTTATGACAGACAATTTGTTTTGACAAATCAGCTGATTGTTTGAAAGTTTACTTTTCACAATTTTGTTGCAAAAGAGAATAAAACGACTTTACTCTCTCCTGGGGGAAAAGTAAAAAAAGAAAAACCTCTTCTTGGCGTAGACCGTCGCCTGATCCAAGTATAAGCTCCCGCTTCCAGCTCAGCTGATTACTAAACGATCTGTCAATAAAATTTGAATTAGCTGCAACAAAAAAAAAAAAAACGGTCAAAACAATCCAGAAACAACTATAGACTATTACCTATCGCTGTCCCAGTTATGGAAAAGACTTTGTTTTTTTATAGATTCTCGCAGCAGCGCATGGTAGAAGAATAAAGGTAGTCGCATCGACACAGCTGCTGGGACAATGAACTGTCAAACCAATTTCGGATTAACAAATTATTAAAAGTTGTTGAAAAATGCATATCATAACAACACCCAATTCTTGTCGTATAAGTAAACAAAAAAATCTACTAAAAATCTAAATAAAAATCTAATTATTTTTGTCCAAACATTTTAAAAATTTTGACATATCAAAGTTCCCAAGCGTTGATGCATCTACTTGTATTCTTCTACCATGGTTTCAGCTTTTAGATACAAGTTAAAAAAAAAAAAACAAAAAAAGAGAGAAATTGACAGCAATGCTGGGCTGTTGATTCAAATTGATTTAGGTATTTGGCTTCAACATAAAGCTATGTAACAACGACCCAAATGTTGATTCTGTTTTAGCCCTAAATTCGTCACAACTTTTCGCAATAAAATTTTTAAGCTTTTTTACGATTTCATTAGCTTAAAAACAATTTTACGCCAGCCTCATAGTATAACTTGCACAAAGAAAACGTCTAAGGTAAATAAAAGATGAATGGATGGCGTTATATTTAAATTATTTTACGTATGCATGGTATATAAGCCAAAGATAGACACAAATATGTACAGTGGACGAGCCATAACTTGTACATGAAATTTCAGAAATCTGAATAATGGAAAAATTATATGTGTCATTTCAAATAATTTTTTAAATTGTTTCATGGTAGAAAAATACATCAACGTTTGGGAACATTTATCTGTCAAAAATTTGTAAATGTATTTTCAAATATAAGTAGATTTTGATATGTTTTCTTATACGACGTCATTCGGAGGTTAATAAAAATCCCGTTTTCCAACAATTTTTACAAATTTTAATGATTTTTTCATTCAACATTTTCAATACCAAAATTGGTTTGACAGTTCATTGTCCCAGCAGCTGTGTCGATGCTTCTACCTATATTATTCTACCATGAATAGTTTATGGAAAATAATACATAAAATTCATGCATATACTCTAAGCAGAATGGAGGCGTTGCTAGTTTAATCGACCAAATACTAGATTTGAAAAAAATATATAATATAAAAAAATATAAAATATATATTTTAGGGTTTTGCAAGTCAACGATTGACATTAGGAAACCCAAAATGCTCTCATTCTGTTTTGGCCTATATTATATATGGGCAATAAAGGTCTCGTTTTATTAAAATAAGTTTGACTTAAGGCATATACAAATTATCGAATGTTCCTCTTAACTATGTCTGACTGTAACATTTCATTGTACTAGCACGCTTTGTTTATTTACTTTCAAAAGGCAGTGCTCTCATTCTGTTTTGGCCCATATTTTCAAATATAATAACAACATGGTAAAAGAATATACGTAGACGCATCGACACAGCTTCTGGGACAATGAACTGTCAAACCAATTTTGAAATTGAAAATGTTGAATGAAAAATTATTTAAATTTGTAAAAAAAAAATGTTGAAAAAAGCGAATTATAATAACCTCTGAATTACGTCGTATTAGAAAACATATATGAATCTATTTATATTTAAAAAAAATTACAACGCTGGGAGCTGACATGGTAGAAGAATACAGGTAGACGCATGGAAACAGCTGCTGGTACAATGAACTGTCAAACCAATTTTGGAATTGAATTTTTTAATAAAAAATTATTTATTTTAGTAAAAGTATTTGAAAAACGCCCATTATAATAAACTCCGATTGACGTCCTATAAGAAAATATATTAAAATCTACTTAAATTTGAAAAAAAACAGACGTTGATGCATCTACCTGCATTCTTCTACCATGATAGGCAATAAATTTATCGTTTTATTAAAAAAAGTTTGACGTAAGGCATATTCAAATTATCGAATGTTCGTCTTAACGACGTCTGACTGTAACATTTAAGTGTACCAGCACGATTTGTTTATTTACTTTCAAAAAAAGTATAATATTAATGCATGTGCCATCTATATAATATTCTTATCTATTTAAAAGTATAACATAAATCCTTAGCATTCATTATTTATCAATATATGTATGTATACATATGTGTCTGTGAACATTTAAGTAAGTAACCTTTTGTATGCAGATTTTATTTTCATTGAAATTCTTTCCGACCCACACACGCACACACACACACACATTTATTCGCTCACATGATAATAATAATGGGAATAGTGTAGTTGGTTGTTGTTGTTGCTTGTGCTGTAAATACAATGTTTATACATCATCGTAGATAAGTAAATATGAAAGTCATTGTTTTGTTGTAGGGGGGTCTATGCACCCATAACCGTTCCCTACTAAACCTTGTCTCATACCTCAGACATATTCATCGGTAAGAGTCCTCTAGCACCCATCATCATCATCGAATCGTTCATTTGGTCCCATGAAAGAGTAAAAATTGCAATTGACTCACATAGCTATAAGTAACTGGGAGGCTTTGCATTTATTGATTGATCATTTAAATGAAATAAACAAAAAAAACATCACTTTTTTTGCTGTACATCGATTATATGAAAATAATAAGTCCAGAACATAACCACACTTTGCTAATTATGTAGATAAGTGTGAAATGTGAATGGGCGGTTGGGTTGTGCCTTGTTAAGTCTATGTGTACTTATGTGGGAACAAAAGTTCAGTGGTTCAGTTACATAAATCTTGTCTATGATTACATGTAGCAGTCAGTGTGGAAGTTAATTTTCATGGTATTAAATTTCACGACAGTACTGTGGCTCAAAGGTTGATTTT